ACTTTTGTCAAGACCAGGGGGGCTATAAAACTAAACAGAATCTTCGAAGCCTCGATCAAGTATTCCCAACCCTGAGTTTCTGGTATATTCACCTTGCTAAAATAATGTTTATTACCCTGGTGGAGGTGTACTGACTTCGAGGCAAGATCTGTGCTGAATTCTGCATGTTGCTCTCGACATCATTGTGGCCTTGGCAGATGCGATCTACCAGTAGATCGAACCATACAGCTTTTGACCCCAACCCACGTTCTCTGTCGGATCTACCACTAATTGACCTATGTCTGCATGTGAGGTCGGTGGCGGCCTGCCATCAAGAAATATAGTCACAGGCCATTCTATATAGATGAACAATTACGCTGTATTTGTGTCTATCTTAACGTCGTCTAAGGCAGGGTTCACACTTGTTGCGCGGGGAAATCTGCAATTCCCCTCCTTTGAGATGTTCTACCCCAGTATAGTTTAGAAGCGCAGCCAGGCGGCTTGGCAAGCTACTGCGAGGCATTGCAGCTCATACTGTGTTACTGTGAGCAGTAGGGAGAAGGCGAGGCACATGTTGCTCTATTTGCTGTGTATGCTGGTGTTGATATAGGAAATTTGCAAAGCGACTAATACTGCCTTATGTGCCAATTATACAATGCACACATCGAAGTAGAGCACTCTTGCTACTTTTCCACCCTTTTCATTTTTTTATTGCTGGACTCTTATAATGTCACTTCACATGTCAGTTTGAGCCTTTGAGACTCATACATTGCTGAGGCAATCTTTGATGATATATTTCGGCTTTGATTCAAGACCTGTGTGTCTTTCACTTGTAATTGAGAACTTCAACTTCCTACCAACAGATTCAGCCCAAAACCATGAATGTGCAGAAGCTTACGGGTTTTAGGCCAGAGTCCTGCTTCCATCAACTGCCATGGTATTTACGAATGAGGTTTCATGGCTTAGTATCTCCGATGGCCATCCAAGTTTGATATTTCCAGGTGATTAAATTACACTTTCCTGTCACCAAACCACATAGCCCATAACAAACAACCCTTTCCAAAAACAACAACTGTCAGGTCTAGACTCCACGCGAGGTATTCGTTTATAGATTTCCAATATGTTGTTAGGGTCATCCACTACCTTTCCCTCGAAATATTGTACCGCGTAAATGTTTGATTTGCCGGAGTACGTCTCATAGATAGTCTCAATGAGAGTTTCACTGCCTTGATTAATGGAAATAGCTGAATGACTCCCAAGAACAGATTTTTATCCCATAGGTATCAAGACCCAAAACATCAGGGCACACTAGACATCATTGTGATACTTAGAAGCGCTGGGGCTTAGCAACGAAGAGCATGGCCATCACGACTCCTATAGCCACAGTGTTTCTTGTACACACACATTTTCAGAATGTGCTCGAGTCCTGGCAAGAGCAGCATCCGAAAACTCAACAGACACAACAAGGGATATGGCATGTGCAGCAGTCATTTCCACCCAGACATATTTCTAGGCTCGACGTCAAGTTATACGCATGGTGTTCTATTCGCCCTAGACAGGCCTAACATAGTCCACACCGTCTTAGTTAGATGACACACCGGGCTGGAGGTAGCCCGTCTAAACTGTAAATATCACGATAAAGAACACAATGAGAATGTCAGCGACACTCTAGCGTTATAAGTCTTTCATAGAGGAACCAGAAGCGAAGCCAAGATGACCCATATATGTCCCCAAACGCCTGCTTAATGCTTCGCAGTGACCTTGTCTCCGGTCAACTTTTCGATATATGTCTTTGCGCTACAGTTGCAAAAAAGATTAGTATCTCACTCGACGTCTTATTCTCCGAACATCCTGGGGGATCACTCACATGTCACCAAAGGCAACCATGCAAACCGTCTGCCAGACACTCAGTCCGATACGGGGGGTGACACCACGGTACAAGCCCTTGATACCGTTGGACTGGTAGATGTACTTGAAGGTGTTGCCAACCGTCATCTTCTTGGGGCGGTTGGGGTCATCCTTCTTGCTCTGCATCTCCACGCGGATGACCTCGATCGGCTGGTTCCAGGCGGACAGACCACCACCCATAGCCGAGGCCAGGATCTTCTCGCCAGCCGTGAGCTTCTCGCCCTCGCCCTTGCCACGGACCCTGCGGATGCCCTGCTCGGCCAGACGCGACAAGCCGAAACGGCTGCCCCAGTTGGTCATCTGGCGGATGGCGACGGCGTTGACGCCCTTGTTGATGCCGCGGATGCCCTCGCGGCGGTAGATGTCCATGAAGGTGGCCCAGGTGCCGGGGACCTTCTGGCCCGACGAGGCCATCTTGTGCTTGGTGATCTCCACCGTCTTCATGCAGGTGCAGAAGCCCATGGTCGCGTAGGCCTGCGCCACACCGCCCGTCACACCGCCCGTGATGCCGCCGACGAACTCAGAGGCGCCCGCGCTGCGAGCGTAGAACTCGGCCTCGGAGGCGACGAAGAGCAGCACCGCTCCCTTGGTGGAGGCCTCGATCCAGGCCCAGGGAATGAGACCCTGGTAGACTAGACAGAAGGTGGTACGTTAGCATCTCTGATACTGTATATCCCCGCAGAACTCTTCCCTTCCTGGAAGGAGCAGAATTGCCGGCAAAGGCATCTATGCGGCCACTGGGAAGCTACTTACAGCCTAGCACACCACCACGGGCCCAGATGCGGCCCAGGGCGGACATGAAGCCGTCGCCACGGTGGGCAGCCATGGTGGTCTTTGTGACCTCGAGGGGCTGGCCGAGGGTGGTGACCTCGAACATGTTGAGGCCGGCTCCGAGGAGCAGGTTGGAGAACTTGATCGGCTTCTTCTCCAGCTTGGTCTTCTCCGGAGCCGGAGTCGGCACGGTGACGACGGCGGACATGGCTTGGGGGTTTGCTGACGGAAAGGGGCCCTGACCAAGGGAAGAGGGTGCTTCTTCGCGAAGAGGAGAGGAGAACGAGGGGAGAAGAGATAAGACGAGCGAGAAGCTATTCGGAGAAAGAGCTCGGTACTACGGTCGTCTTTATCGGACGGCAGATGATGCGGGAGCTAGAAAGAATGGCCTTTCGGTTATGATGAAATCGTGGAGTGGATGCTCGAGGATATCCCGCGGGATGTGCAGCTGCTCAGTTCCGACCTGCTTTCTTCGCACGTGTTAGCCGATGGGCCAATGAGCACCGCCCCATAAGAGAGCTTCAGAACAGCTCTCTGAGCTTGCGCTGAGGGGCAAATGAATACGATTGATCAGTGTTCAACTTACGAGGCGGCGACTTGATGACTCGCAAAGGTGAGATGGGATGCGAAGATGACAGAACTATGTCTCGACAGTCTTCGTGCGACAGGGCAAAAAGGACAATGAAGGCTGATGTTGCACAGGCGGGAATTCCCTTTTCTTTGTTCCCCAAAATACAATCCAACCCCCTGGAAGGCGAGCCCTGGCCGGTCAGCAATCATTGGTTCCCATGGGGATCCGAGGGGGAAGCTGGCCTGGGCGGCCATGCTCCTTCGGGCGTAAGCCTGCCGTACCTCAGCAAGCTCAGCGCTGGACTTAGGGCATTTAGCTACCTCCCCTCACTATAAAATTTTGTAGTGGGCTGAAGTCTCCCCCTCCACACTTGCCTGCGCCCAACATGGCCCCGTTACCCTTGCTCTCAACCATTGAGCGTCCTCAACGCAATTCACGCTTTGGGGTTGCTTTTTGGGGACCTCCAGCGGTGTCGGCGCCCCGTGCGCACCCGCCCGCCCTAATGTCCCGGACGCCATTGGGGAAAATCCCAGGAAAGCCCGATGAGCTGAGAAGCATACCAACTTACGTTGGATACACAACAGTCTGCGCGCGCATGGAAGTGTTTGAATAATGTCACTCGTGTACATACCGGTGTTTCTTCCCAGGTTTGAATACGAGATCGTAGTCTCGGAAAGAGGCGCCAAGCGCACGAAGGTATGCGCTGTGCCGGCGCGGACACAGGTAACGTCACTTGGTGAGACGTGAGCGTAGAGCATGCCTTTAGAAAAGATATCAAAATTTATTTGCTCTGGTATACAGATTGAGATAGTAGTACAAGCGCAAAGGGATGGGTATCTCTCCAAGCGCTGTTATATCCACCCCCTTTTGTCAATAGCACCTGTAGAGTCCAATCCAGTCTATCTAAATGCTCCCGCGACAAATGCCTCGCGTCCCCGTTCGTTTAGTGAATGTTCTCCCCATTTACAGCTTCTTGCAGATCTCGATCCACTTCTCGGTAGAGAAGGACTTGGGGCGCTCGATGGGAGCGCCGACCGCGCGGTCGATGATCAGCTGCGGCAGGACACCAATGGCTCTTGAGACACCGAAGAGAACAGTGTAGTAGTTGGCCTCAGTCAGGCCATAGTACTGCAGGAGAACACCGGAGTGGGCATCGACGTTGGGGTAGGGGTTCTTGGTCTTGCCGTGCTCTGTGAGAACCTTGGGAGCAATCTTGTAAACCTGGCTGACGAGCTTGAACATGGGGTCCTCGGGCATTTTCTCTGTAGCTTTCGTTAGCACTGCATATTATCGCGTGGAGATTGCATGATGATGCTTACCCTGAGCGAACTTGCGCTGAGCCATGTAACGGGGGTCAGTCTTGCGCAGAACAGCGTGGCCGTAGCCGGGAACGACACGACCGCCGTTCAGGGTAGACCAGAGGTAGTCGGTGATAGCCTTGTCGCTAAGGTCATCGCCGATGCTCTTCTTCATCTCAGTGAGCCAGTTGAGCACCTCCTGGTTAGCCAGACCGTGCAGGGGACCAGCGAGACCGTTCAGACCAGCAGCAAGAGACAGGAAGGGGGAGCTCAGGGCACTTCCAACCAGGTGAGTGGTGTGGGCGCTGACGTTGCCACCCTCGTGGTCGGTGTGAATGGTCAGGTATAGGCGCATCAGCTCAATGAAGTCGGCGTTGTCACCGAAGCCAAGCTGGTTAGCGAAGTTGAAAGAGTAGTCCTTGTCCTTCTGGACAGGAGCGACCTTGCCTCCCTTGAAGACATTCTGGTAGATGCGGGCAGCGATCGTAGGCAGCTTGGCAATCAGGTCCATGGAGTCCTCGAAGGTGTAGCCCCAGTACTCCTTCTTGTTGATACCCTTGGCATAAGCCTTAGCGAACGAGGAGGTGTGCTCGAGAGCAGTAACCGCAAGAGAGAACTGGGCCATGGGGTGGAGATCGGTCGGGCAGTGGTCGATCAACTCCTCGACGAACTTGGGGAGATCGGATCGCGCAGCCCACTCGGCGGACAGGTCGCGGACCTGCTGCTCGGTGGGGACCTCGCCGGTCAGGAGAAGCCAGAAGAGACCTGATTCACTTAGCAACAGCCTCATCAAACTGGGTGTTCTGTTCTGGTGGCTTACCCTCAGGAAGGGGCTCCTTGCCGCCGGGAGCCTTGGGGAGCAGCTCCTGGCATTCAGGAATGGTCTTGCCACGGAAGCGGATGCCCTCCTCAGAGTCGAGAACGGAACCTTCCCATACTAGGGCCTTGATGCCACGGGCACCGCCATATACTTGGTCAAGAGTGACCTTGTCGATGACCTTGGAGCCGTGCTCTCTGTAGATAGGAAGCAAGACGTCAGCTTTGTTAACCCTTCACGTGCAAGGAGGAATAGGGATGAAACTGACTTTCGGAGAGCCTTGATCTCCTCGATCTTCTCGGGCAGAAGCTCAGCGAAGCGCTCCTTTAGAGTCTGGGGAAAAGGCATCAGCATTGGGTCCAAGGCATATCGATTACGGGCAGGAGGCGGGAAACTAACCTGGGTCTTTGCTGAGTAGCATCGGACCGCATTGAAGCCGGCGCTTCGAGCAGTGAAGGCAGGAGCCCTGAGAGAAGTTCTCAGGGCGGACGAACCGAGACGCAAGGCAGAGGCCATCATGGACTAGATCAGATAGGATTGGATTGGTGAAGTGAAAGGCTAGGAAAAGAAAGATGGCGGGAATACGGAACAGATAATGGTTTTAGGAAGAGCTTCGAAAAAAAGCGCAGCAAGAAAAAAAGGGCCGGGCTACCTGCGGTTACTGCGCCGGGATGACGGAAGTTGCTGCAAAACCGACAAGTGCCACCAACCCAAACGGGCAGTACAGCACCTACAAGCCTACCTACCTTGAGCAGTCCCATCCCCAATGAGTTGCGGGTTTTGTTGTTGACAGCCTCGGTATTGATTTCTCACTTCCAATGTTCCTACCTTGCAGTCAATTGCTACAGTCAAACTTCATAGACACCCTTTGCGATTGTCTCTACACGACTCAATTGAGATTCACATAGTCATAGCGAGAAGCCGAATCAAATATGAGTGAACGCTGTGAGGCCCTAAGTCGACTGCAATAGATTTTTATGTTCACTGGAACATATCCTGCCGACCGGATAAGCTAAGGTACTCTTTAGCACCGTCGGCACGACACACGTACTGTACGTACATGTATGAACTCTAGGGTAGAGCTGTCCGGCGATATTGACGTCAGAATTTGTTCAATAGACATGCATGCGCCGTATCTGCTTGAGGGTCATTCAGAACCATCTGCAGGCTTATGCTCGACGAATCACTGCAATAGGTTCAATACTTACTATCTCCATTGGTTTTCACTCCTATTGGGAAAGACAATATTGACAACGACAACCATACAAAGAAAGATCTTCCAGGGCCCGTCAAAGAGAAACTAGGTACCTGCGACGAGCAAAGCCAAGCAGAGAGAGTATCCGTCCATAGCCGGGCTCCATCTGTCCTTTGTTAGTGTAGTAGGCACCTGGCCCCGAAATTCGGAACACTTGTTTTAGCGACCTGAGGCTGCATGAGTGCTCAAGGTACTGTAGGTAGGTAGGCTGGCAGGAAAGGATCTTAGCGCACATGGCACGTGCTTGTGCTCCTGCACCTGACAAGCTCCACCTCACCCAGTGGCACCAGTGGCACCCATCAATCCAGTCAGCAAAGCAGTCGTGGCCGGCTTAGCAATTTTCCTCAGCACTTTCCCCAGCCACTCACTGGCCTCCTCTCACGCCGAAACACTTTCTTTGCCCCTCGCCATCAAACTCCTCCTCATTTTTCCCTCCCTCTCTTCCACTCTTTCTTTCTCGCATCAAACCATCAGCAACCCAAACGGAAAACCATCAGCGTCTCTTCCCTCCATCATCTTCCATCTTCCGTAACCTCTCCATCGTATCAGAAGCCCATCAGGAAGGAGCCAAAGGACGGTCGTCTCTCGTATTGCCCTTCTGCCTGCAGAACACAGTAGCCTCAGTATTCTCCATCTAGGGTCTCCTAGGGTCTCGTCTGGCCGCGCAGGTAATCTGCGATCAGCCATCTGCTGCTTGTTCGTACGAGCCTGGACAGCGCGCTCTCGCTGATGATCATGCAACGTACATAATCGCGCATTAATCTGCTCTCTGTCTTTTTTTACTCTGCGGACGCGCCTTCGTACACTTCCCTCCTCTTGCAGGTGGTCTTGATTCTGTCGCTGGTAGTAGAAAAAGACGACCTACCACCAGCGCTCTGTAATCTCGACGGGTTCGGTCGCCAGGCCCACTTTTGACGCTCTTTGTGGCCTCAAGTCGTATATCATCATATTCCCCCTCCCGCCCTCACCTCACCGTACCTCGAGGTTGATGACCTAGCGTGATCCATCTGGTGGTGCACTTCGTACGTACAGAAACAAGGCTGCTCAGCCGGGTCATAACCATCTATCTCATCGACTGTGTGGTCCTTCGCAACCCCTCCAGGACATCATCATGTCTTCTGCCGTAGCAGAACTAGAAACCGGCCTGCAAGCCATGCTTGCTCTGAAGCCACCCGGTGTATCGGGCTCCAAGATCAACGCCATCACCACCCTTTGTGTGGCCAACGTCCAGGTACGATGCGTTCCGTAGGTTCGACGGCGTATCACTGACTGTTTTGCTAACCTCACTTGCGCTGATAGTCCGAATCTGTACTGATCCAGAAGATATATACTCACTTCAAGAAGACACCCGGCACTCACAAGCTAGGAGTGCTCTACGTCGTAGACTCTGTAACTCGCAAATGGATGGACCAGGCCAAACAGCAAGGCCAGGTTGTCAGCAGCGCCGCCCAAGATGGCACGTATGGCGCCGGTGTCCACAGAGTAACTGAGCTGATGCCGGTGTTGATGAACGACATAATTTCCTCTGCCCCAGAAGATCAAAAGGTATGTTAGACTCGCTATATGCTGCTTGAGATGCAACTTCCCAACATGATGCCTCCATGAGAAGAACTCGGAATCTGCTCTCTACCAGGGGCTCGGCCTTCTTTTGCTATGCTATCCATTTCATTTTTCTAAGACATACACTCACATCCCGCGCACCTGTAGGAGAAAATTAAGAAGCTCGTTGATATCTGGGAAAAGGGTCAAACATTTCCGCCGAAGATGCTCGAGTCCTTCAAGGAGAAGTTGAGCGCACCACCGCCACCAAGTAGGTCCTGACTTTTCTTTCTCTTTCTTGACAGGCACGATTGCTTGCCTTGACTGGAATCTATCTAACCGGAGTATTTTCTTCAGAAGAGTCGACTACTCCCCCAGGAAGCCCACCGCCTAATGTGCTAGCTTCCCTGAACAACCGGCCGACGCCGGCAACTTCGGCACCTTCGGCCCTCCCCACCAACATCATGGAGGCGCTCGCCAACATTGCACGGCAGAACACCACCTCGGCACAGAGTGCTCCAAGCGTGCCAGCTCCGGCAGCGCCGTATAGTTATTCTGCGCCGCCTAGTAACCCTATCATGCCTCCCTCTCTCATGAGTACTTCGCAACCAGGTCTGCCGTTCCTGCCGACCTCTCAGCCACTGGCTCAACCCGTAAATCCGCCACCAATGCCATTCATGCCGCCGCAGTTTCAACCTCCCCAAGTTCAACCCTCAAGCACAACTAATGTTGCAGGTAACCTTGCGAACGGCTTCCTTGGTAATGCACCGGCCGCGCAAGCAGGTGGTTCGGACCCCAATCTCCAGAAGAACTTGATGCTCATCCAAACCCTGCTCGCCCAGGGTATCCCAGTTGACAAGATAAGCACCATTATCGGACAGCTCACTGGCAACAATGCTGCCCCCCAGGCACCATTGCCACAGGTTCCTCAACCAAGCCAAAGTTCTTATTCCGTCCCTCCGGGTGCCGGTTGGGATGCACCCCGAACCGAAGACCCACGTGACCGTAATGGCTATCATGACTCCATAAGATCCCCCAACCGAGCCCGTGGCAGGTCTCGTTCGCGATCGCCAGGGCGCCATTGGGACGCTCATGACTCTCCCCGAGGCCGGGACGAGCGCAGGTTTGGCGATTTTGGTCGTAATTCACCTGGTCGTGGTCGTTTAGATGATCGGGATCGGGGCCGTGGCCGAGGCTCCGACTACCGGCAGCGATCTCCACCTGGCCATGGCAGCCCACAGGGCGACATATCAGCCTTGCAAGAACACAAATGGGTTGAATACGATTCGTCCATCCCCAATGGTCACATCAAGGTACTAAGCCGCACTCTCTTTGTAGGAGGTGTTACCTGCTCCGAAGCTGAACTGCGTAACATCTTCAATCGCTATGGTGAAGTGCAGACTTGCATCGTAAACAAGGAGAAGCGTCATGCCTTCGTCAAGATGTATACCCGCAAGGATGCAATGAGCGCCAAGGAGGGTATGGAGGATAGTAGAAGCACAGACATGCAACTGCGAACACGCTGGGGTGTTGGCTTCGGTCCCAGAGATTGCAGTGACTATCAAACCGGCATCAGTGTTATTCCCATCAGCAAACTGACCGAAGCTGATCGAAAATGGATGCTCACGGCTCCATATGGCGGCAGCGGAGGGAAGCCTATCGTCACTGGCTTAGTAGTTGAAGAACCCGATATTGAAATCGGTGCTGGTGTCTCGTCAAAGGCCATCAGCCGGCGAATGCAGACCGACAAGGGCGGTAGCAACGGACCCAAGTCAAGCCGCCGAGATTCTGATGATAACACTCCAACAAACAACAGTGGCGGTCATTTTGGTGGCCGACATGGTAGACGAGGTGGAGGCCGGGATAATCGTCGCGATGACAACATCGGCGACAGCAAAGCCCACGATGCTCAATCCGCCGTTCCAGGCTTCCCCTTCGGCCTTGCCATAGGTCCCAACGGCATGCCTATCTTCCCTCCCGGCTTCTCATTTCCAGCTCCTGAGTCTGCCACCACCAATCCGCCATACTGAAGTTTATGCCTGATTGATCTCTATCGGTGAACATTCATCTTCGTCTGCCATGACAGTCTACTTGATTGTGAAGATTTTGGTCACTTTCGATTACGGCTATGACATCTACGCGCGTCTTAAATATGAGACGCATTGATGTTCTGCAGGTTGTGCAGTGCACTACTGGCGCGGTTTGGTAAGAATCAGGGCAAGTCGATATGGTGACATCTCGAGAGCCTTTCAGCCCGCCCGCCAATCAAACGACGTTGATGAATACACCCATCTTATTTGGAGCGACAACTTCGCCAGCGCTTGACAGTGCTGTTCTCTCAGTCTTAATTCTCGGGGCTTTACGACGGATAGCCTTGTTGTTCTATTACAGATTATGACGGGTGCTTGCCCTTCAAGCTGTTTGCGAAGGAAACAGGATAAATGAAGGGATAAGACGTTCCCCGTAGCGAGGATTCGGCTTCGTGGACTAGAGGATGTATGAGTAAATGTACCTAGCATCGTTTCCCTTTTGTGGAAGCCTTTTATTTTGAGCGGATAGGAGGCGTCGTTTTGATAAGGGACGGACATGGACAAGGAAAACAGCGGCCAGTGCTCAATTCTGAGGAGCACACAACATGGTCGACATCATTAGCATTGGAACAGCTACGCAACTATGCGACTGACATGCTTTGGACTCCTTGTATGGGAGGTAGGGCATGATACCTAATATATGATATTTTGTTGTATTTGAATCCCTTCATACGTGACATGCTTCAATATCTTCAAGTGCATCGTACGTATTTTGCGACCTCGAGGCGCCTGGACCACTCGGAGCAAAGTTCGGTCATATGCCAGTGTCCGCTACGAATCGTTGAAAGAGGCTGACATGTCTTGGCCCTCATTGGGCCTGGTGGTGGTAAAAGCGGCGATGGAGTGTTACACGGCTTGACTAAGGACAGGCATTCCGTCGCCATGACCTAAGACGATGACTTGGGAGCAGTGCATGTGCATATGCCCATTAACTACCCAATCGCCGCATGAGAATATGTCATCATCTACATAGTGAATAGATGCCGGTCGTGGGGATTACACGGGATGATGGAACGGAAATGGATGCCGTGGCGTGAAGTACTAAGTCGGCGGAAGTTAGACATATTGGAGACCGGTGGGCAATCTGTACCCGTGATTTGAAGGCGATACCATTGGGTGAGAGAGTTATAGAACACTTGATCACTGAATGTCCTTCAATAGGTAATGCGAGCGTGGTTCGTATTATCAATATTTCTAATTCGGTGTTGTTTCTAGATACTAATAACTTGATTATTTTTGATCCGTTTTCCAGGGCATTTCTACATGGAATTGATGGGTTTTGTCCACCTAGAATCAGCATTTAATCGAGCACTAGATATGCTCTGGTTATTGTCAGTAGTCTCACAAATCCAAAGTTGGCATGCGCTCTTTGCGCTCTCTGAATCGCTCAATGTCGACAAGACTGCATTCAAGGTTCAGGGAGGCATAGACATTAGAAAACCACAACCGAAGCTTATAACTCCGCAGCCTCTCAAGAAATAGGACACCAAACTATTTCAATGTCAAATTCAGTACTTATGACATGATTTAACTCATGTTGCCAACAATTTCACAGAGAATTCCCGAGTTATACATGTGGATTCATGGCGAGTGCTCAGTCACATTCGAGACATGTTACAGATTCATTCATTTGATTTTGGGTATTCCTTCATGCCTCGTGGTATCTACCTTAACTCCTGAAGCCAAGAGACAGAATCTGCCTTTGACAGATGTAGTCTCGTCCATATTTACATAGATTCGTCACACGTAGCTGACATTGGGAGTCAAAACTCCTCTTCGTATTCGAAGCCGTAATCCGGCTCCTGGGTATCCAAGTCTACCTTGGACCACTCTAGCTGGAGTCGCGTCTCCCGAGGGAGAGAATCGATATGAAGGTCCAACGCGGCGTTCTTGTCGTGTTGGAAAAGAGCACGCTCGTGACCTCTCACTTCTCGTGCTTTCCTTACAATAGGAGGCATGCCGTATCTGGCTTGCAGCTTCTGCATCTCCTGTTGCTTCAAATCCCATTGAGGCAGCATTGCGCCGGCTGGGTCTTGGTTGAGATAGGCTTCCTTGCGGAACAAGCCCGTCTCTGCGTAATTAGGTCCTTTCACAGCACCTATAACCGGGTTTTTCGTAAGCTTTAGCTGACCTGATGCAAGGTATGCCTTGGCTTGCTTGTTTCCGGCCATTGAATCGTCTTCGTCTCCGTCAATCTCCATACCACCCTCCCGAGGCGGTCGGGGTGGCGGCGGATGAGGTATGAATGGTTTTGGGCGTCTTATGCGCCGAGGACCATTAGGTCCTGGAAGGTTGATAAAGTCCGCGGGTTTCTCTTCATTGTTGTCGACTGACAACAGAAACACACGACCACTAGCGTCTCCGATGATCAACTTCGAGTAATCCGGCGAGAACTTTCCGTAGGAAATCTGTGCCGGTGCCTCGAGAAGTACCCGGACCAGCGGATGCTTACGATTTCTGATATTCCAAACCTTGACGACACCATCGGACGAGCCAGTATAGAAACGATCAGGGCTAGTTCCGAAGGCTGTGAACTTGACCCCTGTGTCCTCCAATTCTCTCTCGGCACCGGGTGGGAGTTCCTCCGTTGGTTCTGGGCTTTGTTCAGCAAACTATATAACAAAGAAAGTCTTCTTCAAACTTACTGCCATGACGAAGCACATGGATGGGCTTGTCTGACTCGCCACTCTTAGTGGCATCCCAGATGTAAGTTTTGCCATCTGTACAGCCTGCTGCAACGTAAACACTATCAATTGCATTTGGCCTAACAGCCAGTCAGTTGGCGCCTTGTTCAAGCGAAGGAAGACAAAGCATACCTGATTGCGAGTTCGTTGATGTCTAGACCAGGACAGTCTAGTGTTTTGACCGTACTAAAGCCGAATCCGAACTCGACATTATCAGAGGGTTTGAAGATTTGGATCTGTGTACGAGTGCCGCCTTCGACCTTGAGACCTGTGGGGGATGTAGCTACGATAAAGCATGGCTGAGAAGGATGCCACTCGACTTCGAACACGTTCTGCATGGACGCCGTTGTTATCTTAGCGCGCCTACCATCCAGACCGTTCCACAGACAGATCTCGCCGGTCTTGAGCTTATCTTCGGGTACATCATTCTCATCATTAGTGAGACTTCGTGGAGAATATCCGACTAGAAGCAGGTGTTCCACACCCTCGGACAAGCCCCATTTGATCGCTGCTGGCATATATGCCCACCCTTCCAGAGGCAGTGGCTCTCCAGCCAGGTTGAGAGCTCGGGTACAATCGTAAGACTGATGTGGGCTGGCAGAAATATTCTGCTCATTAACCCGGTAGATGCGAACGGCTGCTGATGGAACATCGGCGGCAGTCGCGACCATCCCACTAGGATGCTTGGAGACCTGTACGAATTGTACATGACCGCCATGATACCAGGTTCCAAGATGGTTCAGGCCCGCACCGGATGGATCTACTTTCCAGACCTTGACAGTTCCATCGAAGCTGGAGGTATATGCATGATCATGCACAGGGTCGTAATCAGCCATTACAACAGACGAGTAAATCCACGGATCCTGACTTCTTCTCATCTCTTCCGTGGAATTATCTCCCTTAGAGACAATGGGTCGAGGAATTCGATGATCAGGATAAGCACGAAGGGTGCCTAAAGAGGTCGATCCGAGAAGAAAGTTCCCTGCCTTGTTGTACTGCTGGTTGTGGGAGTCAGAATGTGTCGTCGTGCCACAGATGAAGCTTCGGTCTGAAGTCCATGTGATCGCTGTGATATCACCAGCACAATTTGTCCATTCTATTCTCAGTTCTAAGCCATCCTCTCTAAGCTTCTTGAACTCATTGCTGAAGTTCTTATTGCCTAAGAAACGTGACTTGTGACCCACCAGCTCCCGCGCCAATAATAGATTGGACAGGCTGCTTTGTCGCTGAGCGTTGCCGTGCACATCATATTGATCACGAGCAAGCGTCAAGATCTGCGAGTTCTTCGAAATGGCTCGGTTCGAGATATCTTTCATAAAGCTCTCAACATCAGTTGGCTGGCGATGGGCTAACGGACCTCCCACACGAGTAAGCGCGCGTATAATGTGCGGCAAATGATGTTTGTTCTTCTTAAGCAGCTTCATCAGGTCCTTGGCGGGGTCTTTGTCCGTCGCGGTGGGTAGGTCCAAGTGCTCCCTCGCGACACGCTGAACATGGCGCATTTCATGTTGGCTGAAGTCCACATGCAGTACTACTGGTAATTTCACGTCCTCCGGTATATCGTCGTGGTTTTGAGGGTTGTGTAGCTGGCGACTCCACCGGACTGCGCTTTCCCGTTCCTGGGCATCGCGATATGGTCGGGTGGAGAGCGCGAGATATCTCGATACGCCCTCATTTTTGCTTTCTGTTACCGTTGGAGCAGGGGCGGATCGCAAAGCATCGGCTTTCGCTCGAGATCGATAATTGGTGGGAGAAGTAGCTTGTTCAACTGTCTTCACTTGCGCCAGACGAGGGGTGGTAGGGGGAGCTGATGATTTCGATCGTGGAGGGCTTGACGGTCTCGGTACAGAGGCCGGTTTTTGTTGATATTCCTATATCTCGTATTAGCTGCCTATATTCGCCCCAAACCCATCTTTTTAGCCTTACAGGTAATGCAGCCAGGTCCTGTGCTACTTTCACAGCTCGTCGGGCTAAAGAACGCTCGAATCCGGAGGATATACGGCCATTATACCTGTGAAATTCGGCATAGAAGGCATTATCAGTTAGGCGCTTGACGAGCTGTCGCGCAAAGACGTATAAGCATGTCGTGAGCCAAGAAAAGAACGCCAAAATGATTCCTACCTCGCTTTCTACCTCCTGCGCTTTAATATACCCATCCGGATAGGCTTTTCGGACAACCTCAACAGCATGTTCAAGGTGAGGGAACACCTGCGTCGTCAGGCAGGCAAACCGCTCGTTCGGGCCCAGACGAGGTCCTGTCTTAACTCTCTTAACTGGTCGAAGAGGCTCGTTACCATCATCGTCATCGTCGCTAATAGTTAAATCAACGACGTCTAATTCTTTTCCGCCGCCTTCTAACAACATCATCGCCATGTTGTCATCTTGAAAATGGTTGACGTTGAAGTGATGCTGCAAGAAATAGCACGGTTGTTTTGAAATTAGATACTAACTTATTTGAAGGCTAATTCAGATCTAATTTAGCGCTCAATGTATCGGATTATTTATTATTCCGATATTTGAGAAAAAGCAATATTTATCTATCAAAAACTCTTTGAATAGGATATTAAAGTGAAATAAGTTTATAATATTAATAATAAAGGATATTTAAGCTTATTTTAATTTATAAACTATTATTATTATTATTATTATTAGTATGTGTTATTTATGTTCTTATTTTAGGCTTTTTCAAAATAATAAAGAGATATAAGCAACAATTTTGATTGCGATAATTTGCTGTTTTAGTTGGTTTAGCATCAAAGAAAATGCTCTGGCCGAATGCATTTCGCTTTTTTCTATGTCTTGGTTATCTTGCGCAGATGCTGAAGGCAGCGAAGAGCATCATGGTTTCTTTGTTTGATACACTGAATAGACTAGAGATCAAAGTTCTAGAGGGCACACAGACTAAGCGCTAGCGCTGCAAGTTGACAGTGCAGTGGACCATGCAGCTGACTCCACAGCGAGCTGTCCCGCTATCCTGCTTTAACAGGGCTCTATATAACAGAGCTTTACAGAATGATATAATGACTATGTAAAGCTCAATAAAAGTTATAATAGGCTCGAAAATCCTCTGAAAAACTAGGCTGTATTTACGAAACTGCTCAAATCACCAATTGGATGAAAATTTGTCAGTTTTACCGACTTAGTAAGAAAAGTGTTGGTTGTTGTGGCTGATTCTTAACGTTCAGTAGATGCCTCACGTAATAAAGGGAAACATAATAATTGACAGTACCCAAACACACGTAGCGACGGGGCTATGTGGTAGATTTACTCAATATCATATACAGCTTCGATTGCATATCTAGCAGCATGCTACACTTCCAGCTTTATAAGAGCAAAAAGAAGAAACACTCTCAAACACATGACAAGAAGCCATCTTGTTGATTACTTATATAACTACGCTATGGGCCACACGAGACCCCAAGGCTGTGACAGTATTTTAGCCTAAGGGAACATCAGCTTCAGCTAATTACTATCTATCTTGTAAGTATCGATGTATTAAGCTCACAGTGTTGACTGTCGTTAGCAATTTAAAGTTGTCCGGACAAGGTAGGAAGGATCGCTTCCTACAAGACTCGACAAAAGCCCAAAAGGGACAAACTTAATACGCAACATTAACCCTAAAAACTCTATTGAAAATCGGAAACGACATTGTCAGATCCCTAGGAAAGCACTACCCGACGCTGCTGTACTTTTTTAGAGAGATCCTGTACTCCTGAGCCTACCAGGTATGCCAACCCAAAGCCTGGACTACAAGCGGCAGCGATCGACTTGTACCATGCAGCACCAGTGTAATGCACGATAAATGGAGTTGTTTGACCAGCCACATGACGCGAGGTTGTTATCTTATACTAAGTTCATAATATATACAAAACATCTTTTCTAGTATATCTAGTCTGATGCATGCTCCGTAAATGCAAGAAACAGTAGCTTCTTAGCTCGAAGTGACAGCTCTTTCTTCACTAATATACAAGACAAAGCACCACGCTTCGCAACTACAATCTGGCCTTTGAATCAGCCTTGGCGGCGGCCTCTTCGTACATTGCGTCGATCTGTTTTCGGAACGCTCTTGCCGTCTGAGGTCTCTTAAGTTTCAGGCTGGATGAGTGTTAGCATTGGTTGCATTAGGTAACCACCATGGTAATATAAGAGGGGTAAAAATAAAAACTTACGTTGGAGTCAACAGCTCATTTTCAATAGTGAATGGATCGATATCGAAATAGCAGTTCCGTACTCGCTCATAGCTGTTGAACTTGTGGCGCTTTCCGATGTCGTCCAATTGCTTGAGGTATGCCTGCCTCACGCGCGGGTCGTTGGCAGCGACCTTCAAAGCCTCCTTGTCGTCCGGCGAGATGGTCTTCTTGAGGATCTTGCTGGCGTAAGGCGCAAAGTGCACCGGATCTATGCCGAAGATGGCTACCAGTGTAGATTGCTTGGGATCGCCATGGACATAGGCCATGGTAATGACGTTGGAGCTTCCCATGTACACGTTCTCAATACGCTCCGGGGAGATGTACTCGCCCTGAGCCAGCTTGAGGACGTTCTTCTTCCGGTCGATGATCTTGAGGCGGCCCAAGCTGTCGACTTCAACAATGTCGCCAGTGTGGAACCAGCCATCAGGCTCGATGGTCTTCTTGGTCTCCTCCGGATTCTTGAAATACTCCTTGAACAGAACTGGGCCTCTCATAAGCATTTCGCCTCGAGGGTTCGGCTTGTCGGTGACGCAGTACTCCAGGTCGGGCACTGACTCGATGCAGATTTCGACGCAGGGACAAGGGCCGCCAATGTTGCCCGTGCTGAAATCACCACGGATTTGACACGTTCCAACCGCGTAAGTCTCAGTCATTCCAAAGCCTTGAATGAAGTTGAGGCCGAAGGCTGCCCGAAGGAACTCCTGGACATCGGGATCCAACTGAGCACTGCCGCTAACCATCGAGTGAGCGCGCGAAAGCCCGACGGCTGCCACAACCTTCGGTGTCCATATCCTGTCATAGAGGAAGTGCTTGTTAGTCGCCTGCCCTGGTGGGAGCTTCATTGACGCCTTCTTGGTGTTGATAACATGACGTGAAAGAGCTCCCCTCACTCCATCTGCCTCGACTGTCGCGGCCTGAATGGCAGACTGGAAGCGATTGAAGAGGCGCGGCACGGAGATGAGGCCGGTAGGTTGTAGGAGCTTCATATCATCGACTAATCCAGTGATATCTCCATGGAAGTAACCAATGGAAGCACCTGTTGCGATTGCAGTTTGATCCACCATTCGGCCGTAGATGTGGGCGAGAGGCAAATAAGATATGTGAACATCGTAGTCTTGGACAGTAGCGTTCGAGCGCGCAGCCGCAATGCCCGCAACTGCGGTTCCGTGGGTAATGACGACTCCCTTCGGATCACCCGTGGTCCCCGATGTATAATTAATGGTTACAATATCTTCTTTCCTAGGCGGATGCATTGGGCGTCCTGACTTGGCTCCGATAGCCTCCACCCCGGTCATAGAGTAGATCTGAACACCAGCATCGGCGGCCATCTTATTGAGAAGGGCCAGCTTTGAATGGCCAGCCATCTCGCCATCATCCAAGGGATCCAACGAGATGATGAATTTCATGGCTGGGACACGAGGGGCCAGCTTTAGAAGGGTCGGGATATGCGGCAAGGAGCAGATAACGGCGCTCAGTTCCGCATGGTTAATGATGTACTCAGAGGTTTCCGGCCCAAGAGTCTCGTATAGTGATACTGGATATAGCGATTGGGAGACAAGCGCCAATTCTGTAATATTGTTAGCATATCCAACTAGATATGACTTGGTGACGGGTATTGCAACGGACCAGTGATTTGCCATTCCGGTCGATTCTGCGCCCATAATCCAACGCCGTAATTATCGCCCGTGACGCCAATGCGATGGTGGAGTTCGACGATACCAGCACCTAGATTCTTCCTCCGCTCCGCAGCTTCGGCGTAGGTCATCCAGACGTACTTGTTCTCCCATGTCTTGCTAGTTGGATTCCATGGGCGCCATCCCAAGAAGCGCTTGTTCGGTCTCGTTGTCCAGGAGTTCTCGAATAGGTCATGCAGAGTCTGGCTGTGTGGTTCGTAGGTCTCGAGGAGAGGGCTGTCACGGAAGCGCCAGTGACGATAGATGGCGGTGCGGCCTTCGCGCTCGGTTCCGGGCACGGGGACAGCATACGGAGAGCCCGGCGGAGGCGGCTGTGCGATCTTATTGATGTAGGCGTCCGTTTCTTTGTTGATGGGAGCCATGACTGCGGTCTTGGAGCGATGTTAGATGTGCCATACCTACAGAAACGGGATTGAACCACACGAACCTCTAGAGGTTGGGACCTCGACGCTCAAGTATATCAATGATGTCGCCTGGATAGTAGCAAGTAAGCTAGCTATACAAGTGAAGTGTCCCAAGGTCTGGCGGGTGAAGCTCGCCGTGGAGATAAAAGGGCAACTGTGGAGGTCGGCACAGACGTATACAAAGTCGTTTAAAAGAGGAGGAGGAGAAGACTCAAGTCCAAGTACCTGCCGCCGCCGTGGAGATAGCCCTTGATTTAGAGCACGGCGACTCAATTCCAAAGGGGGCGGCAGGCCGCGGTCTAGCAACTATGTCCGCTGGGCGTGGAGGTTTTCTGGGGCAAGGTAAGTCACAAGGGTGGAGACTCCGAGGGCCTCGGCTTGGAGTAGTCAAAGTAGCCCGAGTGGCATTCCAAGCAGCCACTCACAGCAGCTCTATAGCGGACAGCGGTAGCACCAAAGCTGGGGCAATGCAGCAGGAAAGAGGCTTGCTCGGCTTCTCTGGGACGTTTTTTTCTTTCTAATTGACGTCGAGGAGGAGGCGACAGGAGGGGGTGCAGCTTGGCTGTGGCTTTTCGCACAAGGACAGAAGACGCACGCTAACACGAGAGGCGTAACCAGAAAGAGGCCTACTCCTCCGTTCCCCCAACTCCAACTTTGTGGGAGCGTCCTGGGGAGATTATAAGTTTGAAATTGGTAGGTACCGACGTTCTAAAGGAGGAGAAACTGTTGCGTACCCCAACTGACCGCTAACCCGGCAGTCCTGTCTGTCAGCAGCTTATCCTGAAGCGCATTGTTGGGAGGGATTCCCAAAGCTTACATAGCACGTTTGTGAGGAATTAACCTTTTTTCTGCTATCTGTGCCTTCGCAGCACTTGAATCCCCCCTCAACCATCTGGAATCAAGCAATCAATCAAGCAGTGAACAGGGGGCGGCATGGGGTGGGAGCTGCGCGGAGGCGGAGAGGTGCATGACGGCCGACCGGGGTCACTAACAGCCACTAACGGCACCTCGCAATCGGGGTACCCAGACCAGTTAGTGCTCCTCCACGCAGGATGACTTCACATGCTTTTGGCACATCGGGGCCTGGAGTGCGGGAAATCGCGTCAACTACCGCAAACGACTTTCTCTCGCATCCCTATTCGGCCCCCGAGATCTCGTTACGATCTTATTGTAAAGAGATCATCTCCCCGGTACCGATGTACTATTATTGACACGCGCATCTTTTTGGATTTCTGTTAATGTAGCGCCAGCAGAATGCTGAGACTGCGAGCATCCTCATGCTCACGAATTCTATGCGCACCGGGCACCTACCTGAGCATTAAGTCCGCAATCTTCCTCTCGCATGAGACCTCTGGATTCGGAATGTATGTCAGCTGCAGGCGTCGCTCGGGTAGTTATGGGGTTCAGTGGATTGATGGTCAGCGATATCACAAGCATTTGTATCCGGTCTAGTCAAGCCAGGCTTCCCAGCTCGTAACCAGCCAATCAACCACCACACAATCTTGGTCGATAGGATTGAGGGGTCTTTCATCAACTGGGAAAATGGCCCATGTGATGAGAGGCATGAACCAGGCCCTTTCCAGCATTTGCACCACCGATGCAGCCCTCGCCAGTCAGACCATTTGACCGGATGGCGGAGCAACATCGAAGTCCGTCGATAGATAAACACGGCTTATAACCCGAATAACTATCACGTCTTGTTTCCCGGATTGCGACTCGTAGCCCTCAAGCCTGTCAGCTCGTATAAAGATGTTGTCTATCACCGTTGTGCAACGCACAATACAAGTGCTACCTACTCTTCCTTACCGCAAAAGGCGGGATTCCAACTGCTTGGCATTGCGAGGTCGCAATGTGTTCGATGCCGGTCGGCTAGTCCAATTTGCGACAGCATGACTGCCATTCGTGATCGAGTTGCAAACCGATCTCCCGGCTTCCCACATCCTAAGTCGTCTGGTAGTCGAGTGGCTTCCGCTTACATGTATTTGACGGCCGTTGCCGACCCCAAATCGCTAATGTGCCCGCCTTTCCCCCCTCCCCTTATAACATGTGGGCGGGTATCTAGAGACAGAGCATCTGAATTCGCGGCCGCCGGCACCCGATGCTGACGGACTCGGCACTCAGATCTTGAAAAATTGGCTTGCGCTTCTTGGGACGCCGAGCCAAACCCCAGACTCTTCCGAGTCTTCACAGACGTCTTGGCAAGATATTAAAAGCCGGTGACATCCACTTTTTCTCATACCAAATACAGCCAAGAAAACATACCCAGAGAGACTCTGACAACCCGAGACTGCCAAGATGTCGAAGAGCCATACAGGCGCCCATCAAGCACATGGTACTGTTTGGAAACATGAGGTTGACGAGGTTGTTTCCCTTGGCACTTGGACCGTCTTCTCGTTTCAATGCCAACGCCACCACTTATTCTCCGCAACGCCCTGGATGGTCTGGGAGCATGCAGGTTTCTTCAGCCTCGCTGTTCAAAACGGATTTCTAGCCATTACGAAGCCCTTGCTGGTAGAGTATCATCTATGGGAATCTGAGGAGGATTCTTACGTCTCAACGGTCTCAGAAATATCAGCGCTGCAGACGCAAAATTACCTAACCGCCGCAGTTTTTAATCTTAAATCGGCGGCTCCTCTGCCGTATATTGGATTGCTCATCAATTAGCGACGACAGTTCATCGCTTTGCTGGTCGCTTTTAAGGCCTCGAATCTTGCATCCGCATGTCTCTTGTCCATTTTATCAGTGGCAAGATGGAAATCTTGCTCTTGTCGGCATTGATAGAGTCTCACGGGCCCTCTAGATTCTCGCCCGTTATTGGCCCGGCAGTGTCACGGCTTGGTTGAGACCCCTGCCGTACCACGTTTCAGGTAGGCTTCAGGATGCACATCGAAGCGTAACTCCCTATTGCAGGTGTTACCCTGATCTCCAATTCTCTCTATCACTGGGCGGCTTTAATAGGTAGAGTGCGGGATGCATGAATGAATAAGTGTTCTCCTACCCTTCCTCATCTTCCTATCCGCCTCCCATCTTTCTACACCTGCTCTCTCTTCTCTTCCTTGTTTCTATTTCTCTTCTCTTCTCTAGGCACCGGTTGCACCATTCATTAGATATTCTTGCTGTTGTTTTTTCGACTTTCTACAACCGACGCTCTCTTGTACCTATCATATCGTTAGACGACGAACCGACTATTCAAAATGGTTTTCAACATCGTGCTTCCACTTCGCGGCGCCCAGCTCCTTTTCGGCGTAATTGTCTTGGGACTGTCTGGATATGGTATGGCTAGTCGACATGAAATCTGGGATGGGAATGTATAGCTGACTGGGTGGAATTAGTTGCCAACTGGTACAATGTTGACACTTTGACATCGTCCCCTTCTGAGGTCAACTTCTTGATCTTCGTCCCCTTGTGGTCCTTCATTACCATTGGATATATCGAGGGTATTTCAAGATTTGTACCGAAGTGTAAGTAGCTCATAGGGCCGAAGTTGAGCGCATGACGGCTGACAATGCTTCCCAGTCTACTTCCCCATCGCTGCCGTCGTCCTCGAGGTTAGCAACATCATGTTCTACTTCGGCGGCTTCGTCGCCCTGGCCGTCTTCCTCAGCAGACTGCTCTTCTGCCGGGGCATGGTCTGCGCCGCCGCCCGCGCCGACACCGCGTTCGCCTCTTTCGGGTTCGTCATGTGGGCCGCGACCGCGGCCTTCACGATCAGGGACTTCGCCAAGACCGGCCTGGTCCGCCGCAGGTCGCCCGCCGGCCTCTCGGGCCCGGCCATGAAGGAGGCTGCGATGGCCGCATAGGTCGCGCCCTACAGCGACACCGACCCGGCCTACTACAGGCCCTCGCTAGAAATAGCGCGGAAGAAGTCGTCGCTGTCGTGGGACAGACGCCAGCTGTTCATGGAGGAAATTGGCACGTTCTTGGGGTCGGAGACGGAGGTTGCTGGGACGAAAGTACGGGGCGGCGGCATGGGATCCGAGAGCGGATGGAGATGCTTGGTCTAGATGACCAGCTGTGCTGGACTTCACATGGTGTTCTGGGAGATCTCCGGGTATTACTATTACAAACATACATACATATTGGTATCGCTCCAGGAGCAGGGTTGTATATGTGTCACGAAAGAACGAATAGAGCAAAGTTTTGTCTTTTGAGAACTCGACTTACATATCTGAATTATATGCATCAGGACTCCTCATGCTTGTCTGTATCCCAGCCGCTAGGTCCCGGCAATGTGGCTGTCGGCGGCAGGCTGTCGGCCGGCAAGGCTTAGGCTACTAGCCCCAAGCCAGCGGTATAAGCGCCCACGAACCCCCAATTTGGAATCGGCAAGATGCTGTATATCGTCGGTCAGCCCCAGATGCAGGTCATCTTCGTAACCTTCGTAATGTAGCTCAGCTTCAAGCCTCTTTTTGTCATGATAGGAAGCTCGCAGTCTCGGACGGCGTTGGAGATTCCGTGCTTACTGGGAGGCTTCTAGCTGAGGCATTTCGAGAGATGAATTTGAAGAATTGTAGGACCCATTGCCACTAGTATCTGACGAGGACGAGGAGGAGGACGACGACGGGCAGGAGCTATTCATTCCCGGAATTCCATTGACCTGCTGCGCTACCGGCGTCTCATCATTCCCGTCTCCAGGCTAAGATGGGCAAGATGGGCTCGAGACGTTGCTAGTCCCCTCGCATGCCACTTTTTTGGTGCAGAAATGGGCATCTTGGGCTGGTTAGCATCAGTCGACTCCAAATGACGTGCTCAGAAGGCGCAACACCCCACTTCCCAAAATGGCACAATCAACTAACACCATGAGGGGCTGTTGGCTGGCTGCCCGCGCCCGCGCCGCTGTTCACAGAGAGCTTTCGGCAGCAAGCAGTCGAAATTTTGAAGAGCCCAGGGTGGTGGTTTGCTAGGCCAACCCGCATCGGACGAAGCAATTGGCATTAGGTAAACTATATATTCAATGCGTAGGGCCCTTCGAGGGGGCTGCCGTAGCTTCTCCCGTGTCTCTCTCCTCCTGAGTCGTGTCTCTCAATAGAGCTTCTCCTCCGTTCCACTGCATCTTCATCATAGATCGTCAGTCGCATATTCCGTGCTGTCGACCCAGCCTGAGCTCATTGCCCCCGCACTGTCGTCTTTCCTCCTGTTGCCATTGAGCATCGCCAAATCCCTTCTACCTCATTTTCACAATGTCTGAGCTTAGCAAGAACTTCGAGACTCTTCAGCTGCACGGCGGGTGAGTATCTTCGTAGCTTTGCCGACCCTCGGCTCGACATGCGATCAGTTTTGCTAAATTATAATTGCAGTCAGGAGCCTGATCCGGCTACCAACGCGAGAGCGGTTCCCATCTATGCCACAACCGTACGCCCGACCATTGAATGGATCTGAGCCAGTTAAGCAATAAGCTGACTAGAGAGAACAGAGCTATGTCTTCAATGACTCCGCCCACGGAGCGAGGCTCTTCGGTCTCAAGGAGTTCGGCAACATCTACAGCCGTATCATGAACGTATGTCAGAGAAACAAATTGTGGTTGAAATATGAACCAATCGCTTGGCAATCGCCATTGCTGACCACTGCTGTTAGCCTACTGTGGATGTCTTCGAGAAGCGAATTGCTGCCCTTGAGGGTGGTGTGGCCGCTGTGGCCGCTTCCTCTGGCCAGGCCGCTCAGTTGATGGCTATTTCGGCACTTGCCCAAGCTGGAGACAACATTGTCTCCACCTCCAACCTGTACGGTGGCACTTACAACCAGTTCAAGGTCATGCTGCCCCGATATGGCATCAACACCAAGTTCGTCAACGGCGACAAGCCCGAGGATATCGCCGCTGCCATCGATGACAAGACCAAGGCTGTCTACCTCGAGAGCATTGGAAACCCCAAGTACAACATCCCCGACTTCGAGGCTATCGCCAAGGTAGCACACGAGAAGGGTGTACCAGTCGTTGTAAGTGACAAGAACGATGACAAGGGGAAGAGACTGGTAGCTTATGTGTTTTAGGTCGACAACACCTTCGGTGCAGGTGGATACTTCGTCCGACCCATCGAGCATGGCGCAGATATCGTCGTCCACTCCGCCACCAAGTGGATTGGCGGCCACGGTACTACCATTGGAGGCGTCATCGTTGACAGCGGCAAGTTCGACTGGGGCAAGCACGCCAGCCGTTTCCCCCAGATGGTCGAGCCCTCGGAGGGCTACCACGGGCTCAAGTTCTGGGAGACCTTCGGCGCTATCACCTTCATCATCCGAGTCCGTGTCGAGATCCTCAGAGACCTGGGCGCCTGCCTGAACCCCTTCGCTGCCCAGCAGCTGCTCCTCGGTATCGAGACCCTGAGCTTGCGTGCTGAGAGGCACGCCTCCAACACACTGGCCCTGGCCCAGTTCCTCGAGAAGAGCCCGTACGTCAGCTGGGTGTCCTACCCTGGCCTGGCCAACCACCCCTCGCACGAGCTTGCGAAGAAGTACCTGAAGCGCGGCTTTGGCGGTGTCCTCAGCTTCGGCGTCAAGGGTGGCGGTGCCGCTGGTAGCCAGATTGTCGACGGCTTCAAGCTGATTTCCAACCTGGCCAACGTTGGTGACTCCAAGACCCTGGCTATCCACCCGTGGACTACAACTCACGAGCAGCTCTCCGATGAGGAGAAGATCAGCTCTGGTGTGACTGAGGTGGGTTTCACTAGGAGATATGTAACATGACAAAACTTAGAAGCTAATCCTGCTCATAGGATCTCATCCGTATTTCTGTCGGCACCGAGCATATTGACGACATCATTGCCGACTTCGAGCAGTCTTTCAAGGCTGCCGATGCGGCTACCAAGGGCGGTGACGAGGGCAAGCCGGCTGAGAAGAAGGAGGAGGCCGCTCCGACTGTTGTTTAAGCTTGTTGCGTGCGCGGACGAAGATGAAGCTGGATAACAATGACAAGAAGGGGTTCATCAAAAGACTAGTTGCTGAGATATGAGGAGAACTCGAGACCATATACCCCTCTGAAAGAAGAAGAAATATAAAAAGATTTGTGATCTCTCCATGATTAATAAACGGCCGTAATCCCAGATCAGCGATATGGTAAATTGTGTGTGCTTGAGTGAGACCAATACTAGCTGTCATAAGAATGTAAACCACCAAAATGAGAATAATAATGAACATCTAAAATTGAAAAGCAACCATAACATTGCAGTGATAATAGAGATATTACCTAAATCCTTCTAATCTAGAACGGGGTAGCAAAAATGCGAGGTGAAGAACCATGTGCCCGTGTATGTATTGGCTTGGGAGGATCAAAGTGTACGACGGGTGGGAGTGAGTGGGTACGGAAAGGAGTGCTCTAGGAGCTGACCACTAAGGAGGAGCAGGCCGGCAAGCAGCTCTAACCTTGGAAGCACCTCCACCAACGTCCCTCCACCTTGCAACATCGCCAAGGACCTCTTCGAGCGCACGCTGCACACGATCATCAATATGCAGACGACTTTCGCTTTTCTCCTAGGTCTCTGGCCCGCTGCCGCACTCGCAGCTCTCACGACCTCCATCACCTTCCACATCCCGGCGTCCCACCTGCTCGCAGACCCGTGGCGTCTCCCGCCATCAACGCACGCAACGCTCACCTCGCTGCGTGTGGCTGCCTCGGTCCCCCTGACGACGACCAACACGCTGGTCTTCCACAATGTCTCGGCGGGCAGCTACCTGGTGGACGTACACTCGCCGACGCACGCCTTCATGCCGATTCGGCTAGACGTGGCGCCGGACGCTGCGGCCGACGGCCAGGCGCTGCGGGTCGAGGCGTGGGAGACCTATCGCGGCAACGACTGGGGCAACAAGGGGGAGGCGATCCCGCTGAGCGACGGTCGCTTCGAGGTGCGGGCTCTGGGGCCCAAGGGCTACTTCTCGGAGCGCAGCACCTTCTCCGTCCTTACCATTCTGAAGAACCCCATGATCCTGCTCGGCCTGGTCAGTATGGCCATCTTCATCGGCATGCCGAAGCTCGTCGAGAACAGTAAGTACCCCTTCATGAGGGGGATCAGGGATTGGCCAGAGGAGATGCTGACATGTGCATTTGTAGTGGACCCCGAGATGCGCGAGGAGTGGGAGAAGAATCAGAAGAGCAACCCGATGAACAACATTTTGAGTGGAGGAGGACAGCAGCAGGCGAATCCGATGGGTAATTTTGATATGGCTGCGTTCCTAGCAGGCCAGAAGAAGGATGACAACGGAGGCTCGAAGCGGTAATAATTATGCAAGAGGCCGGCCTCGTGACGAGGATAAGATACTATATCGGCAAGCAAGCTATAACGCTGAGGTATGTCCCTAGATAGAATAACACAAGTTATATCACAAATAGAAGTTGGTGATTGGAGTGAATAGCATGAACATGTGTGATTGCTATGTACGAAACCATCAACTTCGTAATTTTGGTCTTGCTGCTAATCAGCAAAGACAGTAAAGCTTAATGCCCAAATCTTATCCATCGTCAGTATTTTGCCCTTGGTCCATGTAGCTCAAGTAGTCCCGTCCAAGAAGAGGGAGGAATGAAAACAAAAGCCATCATGTAGGTCAAACTAAGTGGGCTTAGAAGTCACCGCCGCCGTCGAAGTCTCCACCGCCACCATCATCCATGTTTCCGTCCTGGTAGCCATCCTGGTAGGCTTCTTGCTGGTTGTCATCAATCGCATCCATAACGAGGGCGCCTCCGATGAGACCAGCACCAAGACCCAAGGCCGCACCACCAGCAGCACCCATGCCGCCACCGCTCTTACCCGGGCGGCCATATTGCTGCTGCTGGTAGCCTCCTCCGTAGCCGCCATAGCCACCTTGCTGCGGGCCACCGTAGTAGCCCTGCTGTGGAGCACCTCCGTAACCACCGTAGCCCTGAGGTTGGCCGCCATAGTATTGCTGCGGAGGCGGACCACCATACTGTGGCTGGCCGTAGCCTTGCTGGGCGGGGTATCCGCCGCCGTACTGCTGGTGTTGCTTGTTCTTGCTGCCGCCGAACAGCTTGCCCAGCAGGCCTCGACTGCCGCTACTCGAGCTGTCGGGGCGAGGAGGCAGCTGGTTGGAGAATTGACCGCCCTGCTGGCCGGGTACCGGTGTGTTGGCGTACGAAGAGGCGGCGCCTCCGCCAGGCGTTCCCCTGGCGCGAGCATCCTCCTCCTCCTGGAGACGACGCGCTAGGGCGGCATCATCATCGTGGGAACCAGAGGGACCACTACCGCCAGAGTGGCCGGTGTTCTGAGGAGAGAAGGGGTTGGTCTTGCTGTCCGTCGGGGCGGGGCCATCTCCGGGGCGGTACGCGGGTGGCGGGCCTGGAGGAGCGTCATCGCCACCAGGCGGTTTGGCGGCCTCGGTGGGCTTGTCCCATTGCGACTTCTTTGTATATGTGTTGACGTAGAACCTATTGCAAGGGAAATGTCAGTACGATTCAGCTCGATGTCGGAATTCGCGCAGCGATACCGTCGTGTTGACAGTGGCGGAGCCTTCTCTGACGGATTGCGCGGGGCTGGATGGGTTGCTTACCATTCTTTGTACTGGTCGTTCCATTTGGCAATCCATCCCTCGGGAACCTTGGGAGGTGGAGGCCCCGGGGGCGCCTCAAAGTCGGCCATGATGCTAAGAAAATGGACTCTGTGTATCTAGAATGCGAAAGGAAAGAGGTAAGAAAAGGATCAAAGATAACAGGTGAGAAGGAGGTTGTGTGTAGTTCGTGGCCAAGCACTTGGCGGGGTGTGTCTGTCGGCGGGGTAGGTTTGTGACAGAAGGTGTTTCGGAGAGGAACGACTCCAGAAAGAAAAGAGCAAGCGCCTCCCTCTGAAGAGCGGCAAAACACAATAAATACTCACTGGAGATGTGGCTTCTTAAGGATGCTCGTAGACAAGATGCTGGCTCAAAGCCGCTCTGATTCTCTTAAGGTTGCTGTTCGATTCCACGGAGAGGAGGGGCGTTGGGGTATTCGCAATTCACTTGCACAGCCTCAATTGCATCGCGGAACCTCAGTAACCCAAAACCCGACTGGTTCCCTAGTGACCGTCCGCGTAACTTGGCGATCAAGCAAGGCAAGCGAGGTGGCAATCGCACTATTGAGACCACCTGCTCCGTCTAACTACACTGGTGTATTTCTTAACCTTAGCTTTACTTCAAGGTAACTAGTTTGTCTTCTCAATCGCATCATCCAGAAGAAAACATTCATGTGTGAAGGATATTGCAACTTGAACTAAAGTGCAGCGACTCTTCACTCAGTATTGATGGAGACAACTGGCCTGAGACCTGCAGTGGGTGGGTTTGGCTAATACTAAGCATAGCTACACTACAGTAGTGTCTTGGCCGGACCTTCTGGAGAGATCAAAATCCATTTGGCCAATCATAGTTAATAGGGCGCTCTTTACACCCTCCATGTCGGGCCCCTGTGTGGTGTCCCGAGTGTCCGGCAGGCCTCCGCCTGCCAACGCCACCTGTTCGACAGTGTCATGACTGCGCCAAGACTTTTATAAACGGTCTGTCTTCCTTCTCGAGAACAGTCCCGGGTCCTGTAGTCAGGCATGGCGAAGGTACTCTGAGACGGTGTTGGCCCCAGGAGCAGATCAGCAGAGTGTTCATAGCTTCGCCGCAATATTCACGTATGTCCAACGTTAAGCTATATGTAGGTATATCGCAGAGCTCTGACTAGACGACTTGACAACTCATTGTATCCGTAAATTGGCCACGATACATTCGGCATACATAGCCAGTGAATAACTTTTGCTCAGAGAAAAGCTTCTAGTAAAAAAAATCATCATTCAAAGGTCTCAAATTGATCTTCATATTCATAGTTGATCATTCGTAGATTGTCGAGTACGGAGGACACTAACAAAGTGAAGTGTCTTAGTACGGTAAACTCCAAGTCATTTATTGTTGCCTGCCAAAGAAGCTTGTGGTAACTTTAGGTGGATGGCCACCGACGGCTTGGGAACAACAATTAATCCACACACCGCGCACACCCCACCTACGCGCCAGGGGTCAGAAGCTCTATTCTGCACTTGCTACAGCGATTTTAGGTGAACTTTTTTGAGCCGCTTCTATACTGACGACCTACGCCCCGCTCAAAATCGGACTTGCAACATATCTTTTTCTCAGGCAGCACTCGGAACTACCTGGAGTAGATAACTCCCATAGACCTTCCACCTGGACGTTATTCTCTAGACATCTTTCCGTCGAGTTTGCCCGACAAGCCCAGCCAAGATGCAGGCTCCAGTCGTGGTTATGAGTATGCCCTCTAATCCGGAGCTCCAAGCTCCACGAAGCTGGCAGGCGTGCTGATCAAAACCATCTAGACACCGCGAGCGGTGAGAGGCAGACTGGCCGACAGGCTCAGCTGTCCAATATTGCTGCTGCGAAGACGTGAGAAACCGATTCTGATCCTCCCGCCCGCTGCTTTCGAGACTGACTGATAACCATAGCGTCGCCGACATCATCCGGTCGTGCCTGGGACCCAAGGCCATGCTAAAGATGCTTCTAGATCCTATGGGGGGAATAGTACTCACGAATGACGGCCATGCCATCCTACGAGAAATCGAGGTGTCTCACCCTGCTGCGAAGAGCATGATAGAGCTTAGTCGAACTCAGGACGAGGAGGTGGGAGATGGCACAACCACTGTGATCATTCTCGGTAGGTTTTCAGGATACATGTGTGAAAGAGGCAGAACTGACCATGGATAGCTGGTGAGATCCTGGCACAAGCACTGCCGCAGCTTGAGCGCAACATCCACCCTGTCGTAATTATCGCCGCATTCAAGCGAGCCTTGAAGGATGCGCTTGAGATCATCGACGAAATCTCCCTACCGATCGATATCGATGATGACAAGGCCATGTACGGCCTGATCTCTTCTTCTATTGGCACCAAGTTCGTCTCGAGATGGTCCGAGCTGATGTGCAGCCTAGCCCTGAAGGCCGTGCGAACGGTCAGCTGGGAGGTGGGCAATGGCAAGACAGAAGTCGACGTCAAGCGATATGCGCGTGTCGAGAAGGTGCCTGGCGGCGAGATCGAGGACAGTCGAGTGCTGGACGGTGTGATGCTGAACAAAGATATCACACACCCCAAGATGCGAAGAAAGATCGAGAACCCAAGGATAGTGCTACTGGATTGTACCCTAGAATATAAGAAGGGCGAGTCGCAGACAAATATCGAGGTATCCAAGGAGGCAGACTGGAACCGAATCCTACAGATTGAGGAGGAGCAAGTGAAGGCGATGTGCGAGGCTATCCTGGCTGTCAAGCCTGACTTGGTCATCACAGAGAAGGGTGTTTCTGGTAAGTGGGAATTCAGACGTGGTGGGTGGAGCCTTGAGACCTTGACGCTGACACGATGGATCTAGACCTGGCTCAGCACTACCTGATGAAGGCGAACGTCACAGCTCTGCGCCGTGTACGAAAGACAGACAACAACCGGATAGCCCGTGCGACCGGCGCAACTATCGTCAATCGTGTTGAGGATCTGCAGGAGTCTGATGTGGGCACAAAGTGTGGCCTGTTCGAGATCGAGAAGATTGGAGACGAGTACTTCTCTTTCCTAACGAAGTGCAAGTCACCAAAGGCGTGCACCGTTCTCCTCAGAGGGCCGTCAAAAGACATCCTGAACGAGATCGAGCGAAACCTTCAAGATGCTATGGGAGTTGCGCGCAATGTCTACTTCCACCCAAGACTATCACCTGGCGGTGGTGCTACCGAGATGGCAGTGTCCGTAAGGTTGGCACAGAAAGCAAAGAGCATCGAAGGTGTTCAGCAGTGGCCGTACAAGGCTGTTGCCGAGGCCCTGGAAGTCATCCCCAGGACCCTGGTTCAAAACGCTGGCGCAAGCCCCGTGAGAGTCCTTACCGAGCTTCGCGCTAAGCAAGCAGAGGGTAAGAGCTCTTGGGGTATCAATGGAGACACCGGCACGCTTGTGGATATGAAGGAGTATGGCGTATGGGAGCCGGAGGCTATCAAGCTACAAAGCATCAAGACAGCCATTGAGGTGAGTTCACAATCTATTCCCGAGCTATTGATATATCCGGTCCCAGTCTAACAATCACTAGTCTGCCTGCCTTTTGCTTCGTGTCGATGATATATGCAGTGCGAAGAAGGCCGCAAACGGGGCTGTAGGTGTGGGCGGTGGTGGAGATGACTGAAGAGAAAATTAGACGTCATTCATGAGATGATATAATGAACCGGCTGAGAATACCCCTGTATTACCTATAGATCTTGTCCAGGTAGAGAAAATGGGATTCCCTCGAGTCAAATGTATTCCATCGTGGGGTATCATGTGGTGTGTAGTGTCTAACCGTGCATTCTGAGCCAGGCTCAGTCGTCGTCATGTATCACCAAGCCAGGCGTATCCGAAGCGCCCCTCTGAGAGTCCTGACCACTCTTAGTATCAACATCCATATTCGTAGAGCCTCCGTCTTCTGCATCTGGCTTGGTGCCATTGCCGTCCACCCTTGCCTTGATGCCCCCTCCTGGTGTCTTGGTGTTGCCATCCGCACCACCCTTTCCCTTCTGCTGCTTGGCCTTGTCCTTGCGCGCCTTCATCTTCTCGCGCTTCTCCCTGTTCCGCCTCGTCTTCTCCTCGTCCCTGGCCAGCTTCTCGGCGCGGGCGCGCTCAAAGTCCTCGGTAGCCTGCTCCCGCGCGACCTCCTCGTCCATGGCGCGCAGGCGCTCGTACTCGCGCCGCCGGCTCGCCTTGTACACGTGGAACTCGCCGCTGCCCGCGCCCGCGCTGGAGCCCTGCACGTTGGTCACGATCTCCGGGGGCGGCGCCACGCCGCGCGGCCTGCCGTTGCTGCCGGCGGCCGGGATGCGGATCTCCTGGTCGGGCTTGGCGAAGAGCGCATCGAGGCTCGCCGCCTGCTCCGACACGGGCGTCAGCGCGCGCTTCTTGACGGGCCGCTTGGAGCGCGGGTCCGCAGATGTGGGAACCGACTCGGGCCCTTCGCCGGACATGGTGGCGGCGCTGGGGTTGGGTCCGATGTATGCGTGAGTGGATAGCTCTGGTAGAGACCAGACGTGAGGAGGGTCGTGTCGCTGGCTCTCTCTCAGGGTTTTTGGCGCGCGGAAGTCCTGCAGAAGCGCCGAGGATGGTAAGCGACCGCTCCCTCTTTTCTCGAGTGACAACAGAGCGTTGAGGAAACCCCCCGCAAAAGAAGATGCAAGATAGCCGCCGAGGGAGGGAAGGCTGACAGATTCGAGGTGATAGAAATTGTGACGAGGAAGTTGGGCGAGGCCAATCAGAATTGGGGGACCCCACGTCGGTCGCTGAGGCTGCTTCTGTAGTGAGTTTAGGGTTGCACAAGTGCCGGCGACAGCCTTGTCCGGGCTGTTATTGGGGGTCGCCGGGAACCGGAAAATGGCGACCTCTGACCAATCGAGGGTGCAGGCTCCTTGCCGCTGAAGGACCCCGCTGGAGGCCGCTGGATGGCACGATAGTGGCATGGAATGGGGGGCGACTGGAGCGATGGGCCACGAATTGGAGGGGGGCTTGGGGTGCTAGGGCTGCCAACGGCCCTGTGAGACGACGATCCCAGTGGCTCGGGTAGGCAGTCAGGGCAGGCCAGGCGGTTGCAGGACGAAAGGAGAATCGACTCAGATCTCGCAGAAATCCCATCATCATCCCCTCCGCACCACTAACACCACCAACACCACCAACACCACCAACACCACACCTGCAGCGGGCTTGTTCGTCGAGTCCAGCAAGCCACACACGCTCCTGTTCCTTATTCGACCCTGTTCTGGCCTGGCACCACCGCCCGACCAACAGCTGAGACCTGCATAATCCATAATCCCACCTCAGACGGCTGAGCCTGCCTATCGTCCAACTCCGAGCCCGGCAATCTTCAGTCTTTGTCTTTGTCTCAAGATCTGAAGAGTCTTTGGTCTTGATGGCTGGCGGTCATCGTGATAGAAAAGGGGTACTGTAGCAATCAGTTCGCCGTCTCTTCTCTTTCTAGATTCTCTTTCATCCCTCCACCGTCAAAGAGCAGATTGTGTTCCAGATAGTTCTTCTGCTCCTGGGGTTGCCACACCGTAAATTGATACCCAGTCATACATCCAACTCATACAAACAACTCACCCACCAACCAACCAACCAACCAATCAATAGACCGACGATCAACTTTAACCTTCCACCCATCCGAGACACACCTTACCCCTACCTTTCCTTACCCCAAAGACCTTCTTTAGGGAGGCTTCTCTCTATTGCAACACCTGCCCGACCTTCTTTTGGCTGAAGAGAGAAACTACTCTCGACATCGACTAACCATGGCAAAGCCTCGGCTCATCATCTTGGTCAGACATGCCCAGTCTGAAGGCAATAGTATGTGATATTTCCCCGAATAGTTGCAACTCAGCACTCATTCCCTACCCCTCTCTTCTACATGGGAGGACTGGGGTCTTGCGGGAAGCATACCCGAGCGTGTTGCAGAGTGCTAACATCTGCCCCTCGTCAGAAAACCGCGACATCCACCAAACCATTCCCGACCACCGGGTCAAGCTGACCCAGGATGGCTGGCAGCAAGCCTTCGACGCCGGCCGCCGGCTGCGCAAGCTGCTCCGCGCAGACGACACCGTGCAGTTCTTCACGTCGCCCTACCGGCGGACGCGCGAGACCACCGAGGGCATCCTCGCCACCCTGACCTCTGACGAGGACGAGCCCTCCCCCTTCAAGCGCAACAACATCAAGGTCTACGAGGAGCCGCGCCTGCGCGAGCAGGACTTTGGCAACTTCCAGCCGTGCTCCGCTGAGATGGAGCGCATGTGGCAGGAGCGCGCCGACTATGGCCACTTCTTCTACCGCATTCCCAACGGCGAGAGCGCCGCCGATGCCTACGACCGTGTTAGTGGCTTCAACGAGTCGTTGTGGAGGCAATTCGGCGATGACGACTTCGCCAGTGTTTGCGTGCTTGGTATGTGTAGAGTGCATTCATAGAGGGACGATTGTGAACATCGTAGCTAACCTGGTAACTTGCGCAGTGACTCACGGCCTCATGTCCCGAGTCTTTCTCATGAAATGGTATCACTTCAGCGTCGAGTATTTCGAGGATCTGCGGAATGTCAACCACTGCGAGTTCCTTATTATGCGCAAGCAGGAGAGCGGCAAGTACATACTAGAGAATAAGCTTCGAACGTGGTCTGAACTGCGAAGGGAGCGTGCCCTCAAGGAAAAGGAGAAAGAAAAGGAGGAGATTAACGGGACCGCGAGTTCAAAGGAGAAGTCCAAGGCCGACAAGCTGCTCTCCGCTGCCTCTCCTGTCCAGCCTCGTAGATGGGGTGGCTGCCCTAACGGGTGCAACCACGACAAGACTTTCAAGATCCGCTCTGCTCTCGCTGACCTGGTCAAGAGAGATGGCACATCCAACCATCATAATGGCTCCCCATCAACCACCAGCCCGGTAACTAACGGCTCTGGTCTGACCAACGGCTCTTCACTGAGTACTCGCAGACCTGCCGCCCGCCGCTTCAACTCCAGCACCGTGGACGGCGACGGACCGCCGGAGGAAGCCGGGCCGCAGATCGATATCACCAAGGCTCGCGAGGAGGTTGTATCCAGCCCTGACGGCACTCCGTCCTTCATCTCTGTCGATGACCGTCTGCGCAGCCAGATCAAGTCTCCGCAGATGGCACCCAAGCCACTGCTGCATGTGGGCCGCGACTTCGGCGGCACCTACAGCGGGCACAACTCCCGCGCCGGCAGCGACGCCGACTCGAGCGAGGATGAGCGCACGCGCAGCCGTCTGGCGCGGCTCAAGATCCCCAACGGGTCAGGAGCCAACGGCGCCAGCAACGGGACCACGAACGGCGCATCCGGCAAGCGCGAGTACAGCGGCATGGGCCGCGGCACAATGGCGAACCGGCTGGGTGACGCGCCGCACGGCAGCGACTGCGAGCACAGCCATGACGAGCACAGCCACGACGAGCACGAACACACCTGCGAGCATCACCACCATCACGACCACGACCACGACCACGACCACGACACCGCAGACGACGCCGATCTGGAAGACCTGGACAGGGCCGAGAGAGAGGACAAGAGCATCGCAGGCAGCGTATACTAGGCCGCTCGATGATCCGCGACTCGACCGACCGACCTCTTCATGATTCTTCTTCCGCCTTCCTCCCGCTCTACTTGGCGTTTGTTGTTTCTGGAAAACATTGCATCGGCAGGCCCGCTTGTGAAAAGCGTTTCTCTCAACTAGCGCGCTTAGAAGTGGCTTTCTTGTTTTTCCTCGTTGCGATTGGGTCATGACTGATTGATTGATTGATTTGTTCAAGGGGTTCATTCCGAGGAGGATATACCTGAAATTGCATGATAGAATTCGGCCAACATTGCCTCATCCTAGGAGAAGGCGACTCATCTCCGCCTGAAGACTAGTTGGTGATACACTGGGTACGTGGAGAGAGGTAAAGGGCCAGCTAGTACCGAGAATGAATGATACTGAACGCAGCAAATGAATAGATGATACTCATATTATCAAGCTCCCGGTATTCTACTCGAATTATGTGGTATATGTCACAATGCTATAGAAAGCCATGGTATATATGCTGAGGGCCTGTGGCCTGTTCGATTGAGAAAACAATCATATTGCTACTTTCACCCCCTGAATCCTGCCCACATACAGAACCATGTTGTCAGCCGCTGGGCAGTAAGGAGCGGTAGCCTTCTTTCCTGACTCTCTTCGTCCCAATTCAAATCATTGCATGCCAGCATTACCACGCCGCCCATTCCAGTACGGATCCTCCTTTCCTGGAGGGGTTGATCCTCGTATTAACCACCCTATGCAATTCCCTTACCCGGGACCAAGCCCCCCCAAAGACGGTCCTCCCAGGGTCATTATCGTCTCATGGGGGGAAGAAAGAAGAAAGAAGCAAAAATGCGAACCAAAGTGATGTCAGAAAGAAAAAAAATATGCAAATCCTCTTTGCCGTCTAGCGGTGATTAATCGCCGGAGAAACATGCCCAAGCCCATGCCAAAACAGCTGGCCCTCTGTCCATATCCTTCCGCGCTCACCACCAGAGCCGGATACCGACGCATGGAAGAAGTAAAGCCAAGATACCTCATGGGTCATCATACATGAAAACATACAGATCTGCAACAGAGACCAGGTCATTCATTCCAAAATGCCAACTCCAGGCCGACATCGCCAGAATGCTTCGCTCGTAATATATGCCCTTGTGCGAATTTGTCAAAACGCCCAAGCAATGCAAATAGATATAAGTGGAGGGCTCAGTTCTGTTTATGGACCCGAGTGGGTGGTCGCGCCCAGAATAGCAGAACGAGAGAATCTTAAAAGAATTTGGACAGGGCGGTGCTCAGATCGATGAAGTCGACAGGTTTTGTGACATAGTCACTGAATCCTGCAGCGACGCACTTCTCTTGCACGTCTGACATGACGTTTGCAGACAATGCAATGATGGGTAACTTCTTGTAGTGGTTCTTCTCCTCCCAGTCCCGTACTTCGCGGCAGGCTTGATAACCATCTTTCCGAGGCATGTGGAGGTCACACTGTAATGTAAGTCAGCATTGATCGAGGTGCAGAGAGGAATACACATACAAGTATCAAGGAGTAGTAGCCATGAGGATGGCCAAACACCTGCTCGGTGCACTCTACACCATCCACGGCTACCTCAGCTTCGAGACCAACTTTCTTAAGATACTTCTTGAGGACCTTCTGGTTGACGGGGTTATCCTCGACAAGAAGCACTTTGTAGCCTTTGTTGCCCATGCGCTTTTCCACCTCGAGATAGCTTTGCTTCTGCGACTCCACGATTCGTTGCGCAGTGGAGCGGTTGCGGTCAATGCTCGTATCACTCTGATTTCCAGGGTCAAAGATGACAGCAAACCTGGAGGGCTTGACAGGCTTATAGATGTATGTCACTTTGTTTTCGGAAAGTAATTCCTCATACTCCGTGCCTGCCGCCAGCTTCATAACGGCCTGTCTTTGCACAGAGTCAGAAAGAATGAGAATTGTGGTCTTATCGGCCATTGCTGAGTGGCTGATCTGGCCCATAAGATCGATTATTTGTTCCGGCAAGCCTAGATTGAGGACAACGTGCGTAAAGATAACTGGGTCATCAACACCAATCAATTCCTCGGCCTCTTTGACACTCGCTAATGCCGTGATCTGATATGGTACGTCTTTAGGCAGAGTCATCTTGATATGCTTCGTTGTAGCTTCCCTACTGAGTGTTTGTGGGCAAATTATCAAAATCGAGTACATTGGGGGTCGGAAATTGCTAGCCCCCTCCGGCGGTTTCTGATTTTCAGGGGTTGGCGTGATACCTGGGGAGCTCCGATTTGACGGCATTTCGAGTTTCATTTGGGACAAATCCTGACCACTGGCTCTAGCAGCTTCACTGAAATGAACCAGCCCGACATTGACGGACGACATCGACGAACGGTCGGTCATACGCGTTTGCCCTGAATGAACGGAGGGATTGGAGCTTCCACTAGATGCCACAGCTGGAGAAACATACTCGTTTTCAGTATTTGTAGGACTTGTAGTGGAACTCGGCCCAATGATTTTGTTCAAGGCAAGCTGTCGGTAGGCTTGCGTGGTGTTCTCTGGCAATGGTGTCCCAGATGGAAGGGTCTCGATCGGAGTTGCAGGAGCGTCAGGATGGTCATCTTTAGTTGGTAGACCAAAACGTGCCGTGAAAGTGAAAGTAGATCCCTTTCCTGGTATTGCAGTTCCCTCCATCCTTCCGCCGTGAAGCTCCACAAGTTGACGGGAGATGACAAGGCCAAGACCACTTCCGCCATGCTGACGAGTGCTGCTGCCATCAATTTGACTGAACGGCTTGAAAATCAGCTGCGCCTCCTCTCTGCTAAATCCTCGCCCTGTATCAATGATGGAGAATTCAAGCATGATCTGATTGTCATCAAGGTCTGGCGGGCCGATAGCCTTGACCTTGCAACGGCTGAAAACTTCTCCAACTGTTGTGAATTTGATCGCGTTGCCAATCACGTTGAGCAAAACCTGTCGAATGCGGACTCTGTCGCCCTTGATCCAAGCCGGAACGTCCTCTTCCACCACATAATTCAACTCTAACCGCTTAGCAATCGCCATTGTTGACACGAGCTCATTGACGTCTTCGATTAGTGACCTCGTATGGAACCATTCGTGACTGAGTTTCATCATCCCCGCATCAACCTTAGACAGGTCGAGAATGTCATTGATGATCATAAGCAGACTATTGGCGCTAGTCTGGATAGTGTTTGTATAATCCCGCTGCTCCTCGTTAAGGATGGTATCCTGCAGGAAGCTCACCATTCCCGATATTCCAATCAACGGTGTCCTGATCTCGTGTGACATGTTACTCAAGAACCGACTCTTCGATTCCATTGCCTCTTTTAATTTCGCCTCGAGCAATTTATGGTCATTGATGTCGGTCGCTGAGCCGAAGTAAGAACTAGCTCCATTTCCAAAGTCGATGTTGTCAATCTCGACACATCGAATCAAGTGCCATCGATATTCGCCAGTCTTAGATCGCAATCGAATTTCTGTAGTGTAGGACAGCCTTCCATTGCTGTCAGTTGCCACCTTGATTATGCCCTTTCTAGCCAGCTCCGTGAGATTTGCTGTCGGTAATTCGTAAACAGAATCACTGCTTGAACTGTTGTGTCGAGAAAGAGCTTGGTGAACTCCTCTAAGGTTGACATCGCTCTGGTCTGTACTTTTGGTGTTAGAAGCCTTCGAGTCCTTGGTAGACGGTGATTGCTCTTGATGTGTCTTCCAAAGTCTCCTCTCTTTCCTAGCAGCAGGTGTAGGGGGTTGTTGTGTTGGTATCCGGCATTTCGCAAGATCGTCAGGATGTACGAAATCCATGAAGCCAAGGCCAAGAGAGTCGTCGAAGCTTTGGCCCGTGTAAGATAACCATTGCTCGTTCGCGAATGTGATTCCCTCATCCTCAGTTGCTGTGAAAATGATTTGTGGTATCAGATTGGCAAGGAGCCTGTGTTTGGCTTCGGACGCCTCGATTTCCTCTTGTCGCGCTGCCTTTAGCTCAGCAATATGCTGGTCGTGGATATCCATGTAAGAACCGAGAAATTGCATAATAACATTCCTCTTATCTCTTGATGCGACCGCGCGTGCATAGAACCAGCGGTAGGCACCATCGAACCGTCGTATGCGCACTGTCCGGGAGAATTGCTCTCCTGTCCTAACGGAATGACTCCAAGTCTTAAGATATTCATCTCTATCGTCTGGGTGAATACTTCCCCATGGATCAGCTGCTAAATCCCCTGCAGTCTGACCCCTGTATGCCAGATAACGACTATTCACCCATACAATTTCTCCTGTCTGCGGTAACGCCACGAAGACATGAGCTGGCAGTGAGTCAAGCATAAGTCCCTTCAACCTATCTGATGGGGGTGGCAGTTCGACATGGGACATTGACAAAGAGCCACTCCTAGATGGCACCGATCCTGCTTTCGTCGCAACGCTCGAACTAGGAGGTAGAGACTGGAACGTGGTAGCAAAATCGGCTCCATACGAATGAAGCATCGTATGACGGTGATGCGCTGCTCCCGGTGTTCCCAATGGAGTTATTCTTTGCTCACTAACTTTCTCGTCTCTTCGTTCGGGCTGCTGTTCTCTAGGAGTTGCCCGTCTTTGGACAGCTATTGATGGAACCTCGGAAGATGTTCTACCAACAACTTCTCCTCCAGTCTCAGGCTCATTGACGTCCAATCCAAGAACACTGGGATCATGAGGGGTGCCTTTGCCGCCAGACAGTCTGAGCGATACACGCTTCTCTGGCACGGCGCTGTCTTTGGAATTCCGCCGAGCTCGCTGTTGAGCCGAGGAAGAGATCACATCGATCTTTCCACCTACAGGCTTTGCTTTCGTAGTGAAGTAACTGTCTCCTGTAAACTGCGCTGGGCTTGAAGCTGAGGGACGTTTATCCATGAGCAAGCCGAAGGCTCCAGTATCCCATCCTGGTGTTCCACTAGGCGAGCCTGCGGCACTTCGTGAAGGCCCAGAATAATCGCTGGGACTCGTCATACTACCCGCTAAGGATCGCTGAGATCCAGCCTCATCAGGGGCAATATAGGCCATATTTGAATATGACGAAGGGTCAGCTAATTGCCTACCTTCCGCATCCACGGCGCCAAAGCCAGCAGTCTGTGGCCGACGCCTATGTAGACCAGCAAGCTCTGACTCGAGACTGCTGTAATGACGAGCCAACGAGAATGACGTGGCGAGATGAGATGCTAGATGCTCCAGAGAGTGCCGTAGATTCGACGGGTATGGTATGGTCGGGCTGAGGACTGATAGAATTGCGATAGGAGTTTGCTTATCTTTATTCAGCGGGTCGGGCGTAGGCTGGCCTGTATAAGACGAAGGTTCAGCAGTCTCGGCCTCCTTTCCTTTACGAGACGACTTCTGCTCCATAAGCGTCGCATCAAGTTTGAACCCTCCAGAGACGGGTTTGGACAGGAGAATATGAGTTAAAGGGATGTGAAGTACGGTCCAAGAATTATCTACACCGATAGCCTCGGGAGGCACACTTATGGCGGCATAGTCTTGAGGGGTAGTGGTAGGGTTGAACGACTCTTCATCAACCATGGCATCGGTGAAGAAAGGGTTCTCCTTCGGGTCCGCGCGAACAGCTGGCGACGGAGCAGGAGACTGTGACCATGGTGAGGGAGGGGCCTGCTCATATTCTTCGTACTTCGGAGTAGGAGCCCGAAGTGCTTCCTCCTCAAGTCGTGATGCAATGCTTTGACTTTTCTTATCGGAGAATGAGCCTTTAGACAGACGGCTAGAGCTCTTGATACCAGTGGCGCTCCCGAGAAGAGCCGAAAGGTTAGTCGACGAGTCGACCCTCTTTTTGCCCTTTTTCCTAAGACCTTCAGGTGAATGAGCTCGGCCAGAGGTTCGTGTCTCGCCTATCCTCTCTGGACTTGTTTCGTCGAGGTAGGGGTAACTACGCGTCAATGCTATGACACGACCACGTTCCAGAACTCTAGTGACTCCATTGTGATCAATTAGAGGGTCAGCTTCGTAGTCCAGTGCTTGAAGCATGGGAAGGACTCTTCCTGAAGGTTCTCTTTCGAGTGGTGCTTCCCAACTTGGTCTACTCTGTTCCTCGGCATCATGCTCCTCAAGTGCAGACCTGTTCAGGGCGGCATGAGCTGGATCCAGTACCGATATGTCTGCTTGTTTGAGGGAGCCTGCGAAGTAGCTCTTGCTTCTTGGCAAGGGAGTCGGCCTCGCAAGACGAGCAGAGGTCGCATCACCTTGAACCTTTTTCTCGTCCTCGTATGACGTGAAAGAATGCCGGCTTTGGAAACTAGGTCGAAGCTGGAGCTTAGGTTTTAGTATTTCTTCGACTTGAGAGGCGAGTGAAGAGTTGTCGTCAGTGCTGCTAGGCATATAACTGCTTCCTCTGGCCATATAGCCGAGGCTAAGGTGGTCTTCTTGGCGTGCATTGTATGTCGCTTTTTGTCCCCAAGGTACGTTTTCTATGTCAGTAGAATCAGCAGGAACAGCAAGCGTGACTCGCTCTGCTCTATAGACTTCGGTCATGATCTGAATGACGGTATTCCACCATGCTTCCAAGCCAGGCTCGGCAGTGAGCATCAATGACATTTCGTAGAGATTTGGCGTTGGGAAATCGGGATGCGCCCCTGACTGAGACGCTCCGGTAGGCTGGAAGGTTAGGGTCGACGCAGGGCTGGTAGGGCTTGAAACGACCTTATCCTGCAGACGCAAATTACTGAAAGTGCTGGCCAGAGACGACGTGTTTGCCGGAACTCCTGTTGGCGAGAGAGTTGTGAAAGGTTTATGCACAGGTGACGGTACATATCCCGGCGTATGCATCCGTGGAAAGGGGTAAGAGGGTGTCCTCGCTGCGATCCCCGGTGTCGCGCCACCTCGAATGGTATTTCCCGACTCGGTGGAAGCTGTAGATGTTGACGTCGCGATCGAACCCGAGCTTGCGGCTTGTGCAATTGATCCAGACATTGTTGGTGACACTGTATTTTCCTCTTGGATTGGAGATACCCGTGTTGGCGCAAGGCCGACCTGGTGGCCAACTTTCGCAGTGAGTCCTTGCCGTTCCATGTCTCTTGCCAGCTTCTCCCGATACTGGCTTAATTGCTTCGCCGAATCTATCTCAGGGGATATCTGCGGCTGATTCGTCCCGTCGCCTTTCCCTGAGGTTTCCGCTCCTCGATCCTCTGAGAGTTCCGCCCCACGTGCTATTTCCGATGACTGCCTCCTAACATCGCCGCTGCTCGAACCGCCTGCTGTTGCAGGCACAGGCAGGGACTCTTGGAGAGGCAACGAGGCCTCTCCTCCACCTTTAGGACGATCCGACATCAGTCGTGGTACATCTCGGGGTGACGCTGGCTGGCTGCTTGTCCCATGCTCAGGTTGTTTCTCTAGCCTTGGACTCTTGGGATTGGAAGAAGTGGACGAGGTCCGCGAGTGTTTCGACGGGCGACGCGCGGTTGGAGAGCGTTTCTTCTTGTCCTGGCTGGCGATCGTCCCCGACGGCATTCCTCATGCGCGGCGGGCTTGCATGTAAGAGGTGGTCCCTAACAGCTGACTGAGTGCCCAAGATGGAGTTGCAGGCGAGCACGCGACGATCTGGCCTGGTGGGTGACTGGAGACGTCGTAAACTTTGGAGATACAATGGAGAAGGGCCGTCTAGAGGGTGGCTTGTTCCTGGCCTAGGGGAATGATGCGGTCGGGCAAAGAGAACTGTCGATGTGTGTGTGTGCTTTCGAGGAAAAGTGCGGTTTGGCAGTTGGGAAGGGGCGATCGTCCCCTATGACGTAAAGGCGGACCCAGGGAAAGATGGGAGGCTGTTGGTGACCTAGGCTAGGGGACCAGGCACACACCACTCACAGCCCTTCATGTTCTTTGGGTGTCTTGCCAGCGGGTTGCTTTTCAGTCAAGAGAAAGAGGAAAAAAAGAAACAAAATAGAGCTACTACTGTTGCTATTCTAGTTTAGAGACACTATCATCAGAAGTGTGTGCTCACTACGGCACCCAGTAGCGAGATGCGACAGTGAGGTGTTGCGCACTGCTGGACTGGGGATGGGATCATGTATTCCATGTCTCTGACCCAACCCATATTAGGGAGGCCGGCTGGGCAAGGGCCAACTTCATCGCTACAGTACTACTGCAGAAAGTGCATCATAGCCCAGTCCCCTGGCAATAAACCCACCCAATTGCAGGTTTTCGACCCCGTCCTCTAGTGCATAAACCGCCTTGCCGTACCTCCCGCCGCCTTGCCGGCAGAGGAATCGCTGCTTCACTAATAACGGTGCTAATGCTCCATCTTCAAATGGAATTGGTCCCCCCCCTGGCGGCCCATCCAAATTCCTGCAGTAACAAGATTTGACAGACAGCGAACCCGCTTCCTGGATTCTCCAGCCACCTGACCGTGGGCTTGTCCCGGACAGACCATGATTGAGAGCCCATAAGCTTGGTTTGTGTAGGAGGGAAGATGGAGAACCATCCGGAACTATTTATTGATAAATATCAGGAGATTCCTCAGAAACAGCAATAAGCCCCAGACCCCTAAACCAAGCGAAATGGTCGAGCTTCAGAATACGGGGCCGAGTATGCCTCTGGAGTGTTTACGCGCTCTTGAGCTTGGCTTTCTCTCCTTGTTTTCTCTCTGAATCGGTAGTAATAGGGAGAACCTCATTACCTGTGCCTTGGTTCGGTTGCCTCTTCACATCAAGCCAGCCGTTAGCACGGGAGCTGAAAAGAGGACCAGGCTATAAGCTAAGCTGGCATCGTGACTCTTCCAGGTCCACAAAGCAAACGGTTCCCGTCCCCCCGAAAAAAGAAACCTGCCTGGCCGTCCGGTTTTCTCGGAGCCCATCGTGGCGGGTCTGCTGGAGTTGTAGTGGGCAATTGCTTCACACGAGATCACTTGGACACGATTCAATACCAAGCACAGCGAGGTACCGTGATGGCACATGATATCACAATGTCGTATCCGCGTTGCCTCTTGGCCACTGCACTGACTCGTAGGTTGCAAAGATGCGAGACGCGGTATTAATCCTGTAATGTGCTGTAGGCTTTCTGCAGCCTTACCGATCCCGTACGTGTGCGTGGTCTGCCATCGCCAGGTCTCAATTGGCTGATAGCGACGGCTCTCGACGAAGCGAGGCGGTGAGCCGTCCGGACGCCGTGATGACGCCCTCCATAACATCAATGTGTCATTCTGCAACCACCATCGGGTAGCGGTCAGTGTGCAGCAGCGCGCGGGTGTGTTCCCGTCGGAATCGGAGGTCGATGGCCGAATGTGATGGTACCTAGGTAGGGTAATGTTAGCATTGGTGGTGCTGTACCTGCTGGTCCTGAAAGAGAAGGCTGTGCCGCACCCCTTTTTCCCTTGGGGGCTGAACCCAGGGACGCGGCCGTGACGTCAGTGGCCACGCCATGAGAGAGCGACCGCATCTCACCTTCCAACCAAACAAGGCAACACGGACAGTCCCACCGTCCAACCTACAAACATACTCTCCAACTTGAGTGAAGAGACTGAGCGCTGCAGTAGCGATCAAATGATTCGCGTGTTGGGCAGGTGTTCCAACCCTACCACGATTGCCACACCATTCATATCAAATTTACTACCTACCCGAGAGCCGACCTATCCGTTGTAACTTGCCCATTTGGCCATTTATGAGTAGTTTGCTAGTTCACGGGAAGTCGAATTGTACAGCCCTAGGCACCCAGCACCCAACAAACGCAACTTCTAGCAGAATCGTAGACACAAGCCCCAGCGACGCGTGTTTCGGACTCTGGTAAGGAAAGGAGTTTGTGGCCGAAATGATCATTCACGATTGGTCACATGCTCAGCATTGTCCGAAGTACCTATGCTATTGGGCACAATGACATGAAGTTTCCTCCGGAGGTACGGGCGTAAGCACAGGACAGAATCGCCATTGGCAGGCAGTGGCACGTACGACCAAACACGGCGCTTAGAAGACGATACCAAAGGGATCCATGGATTACTTGACTCTAGTCTATTGCCCGCCAATGGCCGAGGAGGAGTACAGAAGGAGGGCCATGCGCGGCTGTTCCCGTAGTCTTATGCATACAGGGTCTTATAGGTAGGTAGTTTAAACTCCAAGTCCTGGCACTACCTACCTAGGTATGCTGAGATGGAGCTCTTTTCTTCCGCATTAATTTTCATATATCTTCGAAAATGTGGCAGCTACATGGCGCAAAGAAACTTGACACTGGGATTGTACAGTAAAGATATGAGATGTATCAATTTCAAGCTAAGGAGACTGCTCCCAGTTGTTCCAGGTGTTCGAGATGATTGTATTGGTAAGTTAGAAGTTAGAAGTTAGAAGTTAGAAGTTAGAAGTTAGAAGTTAGAAGTTAGAAGTTAGTGTTTGAGACTTCTCAACTCAAGGTGCCTCCTAAATGTATACGGAGGAGTTACCTTATTTACCATCTTACAGATAGTAGTAGCTATTTACCACGTTCCTGCAGATATTAGTGGCTGTTTACTACGCTACACGGAGTATAAACTGTTCATCATCAGTAAGGAGCTACCTAGATGTCCAGGTAGGGCTGTGAGTATAGCTAAGCACATTTGACAATTATCCGTTTCGCATGTGGTAACATCTAGTGATCGCTATTGCGAGATGAGTTACCCCACGGTTGCTAGGTTGACTTAACAGGCGTGGTGGTGGGAGCTCCCCGAAGTGTAGGCGGCTAGGCAGCAAGATTGTGGGGAACTGCATAACCTTACTGCCCGGACAACCATAAATGGCAGCCTTGTGGTGGTCTAACCGCGCTGCCGGCGTGCATCAATGTAGGTACACTGTACAGTACAGCCTAGTACCTTGGAAGGCTTACTTTCCTCAGCTTTCTCCAGTCACTTCACCTTGGTAGCCCAAGTAGAGTGACAATCCACAACACAACTCACTTTAGGTGCCGCGGGCGCGCATTGATTGGGGTTCCATCATCACTAGCTGTGTCATCCTCCGCATTCATTCAGCCGAGACAGAACAAGCTTCCATCTCTTTACTTTCCGGTATCATCAATATATCGGTTCCCATTTCACTGGCCCGCGCCGTCGCAGCTTTCCTATCTTCATTCGACCCGCGGCGGTGTTAGGCACACTTGACCTAGATTCTGTCGATCTCAAGGGGGCTGACATACGGGCAATATCATCGCCATGGCTTCTGCAAATGACGATCCGCCGAACAGGCCCCATGCTACTACAGACCCCGATGGTGGAGCTCCCAATGAGAATACACCTCTCCTTGCCGCAGGCGGACAGGAAGCTGCGCCCAGTAATGGTGATCCGGGTCGAGAATTCGGGCAGCATGCCAAAAAGTGGAGGCGTGATCGATGGCTCTCACTTGGCATTTCCGTTCTCCTTATGGCCTTGGTTATTGTCCTAATTGTTCTATTCGGAGGTACCTAGCTCTTTGAAACTTTGCATTTATTGACCCTTTCCCGTCTTCTCCGACTGCGTTCTCGTCCGCCTCGTGCTCTTCTTGCTCGGGTGCTCTTGCTTTTGCTCAAAGAGGATCTAATCAGTGTCATTGTTAGTCTTCCGTTCTCGCAAGATGAGCAACTCCACGTCTGCTCTCTGCCTTACACCGGCTTGTATCCATATCGCGTCTGAGTTTCTATATAACTTGGCTCCAAACTACCAAGAGATTGACCCCTGCACCAACTTCGATGAGCGTAAGTGAAGAGCTCTTGTGACGACGACATCAAAGGGCTAAACTGTGCACAAACAGTGACATGCCAGGGATGGGACAGTCGGCATGACTTGCGGCCAGATCAGGGTCAGACTAATGTGTTCAACACCATTGCTGAAGATGGAGAGACTATTATAAGGCACATTCTTGAGGGCTCATACCCAGGAAACTCCACAGTTAGTCACACTACTCTCTTCATTCTGGGTAATACTGACGATGTGCAAGCACTCCTCCTTCTCACCGCGTAACCTAGCAGCTACATCTGCTTCGGCAGATGAGCTGAACTTTGACGATCTTCAGCGGGCCTACAATGCATGCTTGGCCCTCAGCGATATCAAGAAGCTTGGCCTCACGCCGCTGGAGGCCATTTTCTCTGACATCGCAGAGCTATTTCCTGTGGAAAACTCCTCCTATGGGGATAGCGCATCTACTCTCGGAACAAAGCCTGGATCTCTTGCAAATGTGACTATATACTTTGAAAAACTAGGTGGTGACCTCTTCGAATCCCTCGGTGCTGGCCAAGATGACAAAACTCCAGTATGGTACCACCCCAATTGCCTTCAGACGATAGTTCTGATTATCAGTTTAGGATATCGTCATAATCCAAGCATACCCAGAAACTGCGATAGGACTACCCTCTAAAGACTACTACGCGGATGAAGACACTGTGACACAATATCAAGACGCCATGCGCCAAGTCCTAGCAGCAGTTCACCCCGTTAAGAAAGCTCGTTCTGCCGCAGACAAGTATGCGGCCGCGGTAGTCGAATTCGAAGCCACTATCGCAGCAATGGCGCCGGATAACGAGGACCTTCAAGACATTACAGTAAGATTACCCTTGTGAGTGGCTCTTCATGCACCTGACAGTGGCTAGAAAACGTACAATCCAATGTCCGTAGCGGACACAGCTAAGCTGGCTCCTCAACTTGGATTGGAGGAGGTTTTGAAAGCCCTTGTCCCGTCAAACTACACTCTGGATACCATGATCACAGCATTCCCGGGCTATCTAACTAACCTCTCGGACTACCTTTCAACGGCACCGAAAGACACTATACAGACGTTCCTCTACTGGAAGGCTATACAAAATGTGGCTAGCTATATTGAGGCGGACGAGCTCAAACCTCTTAAAGCATTCAATAACATTCTCTCAGGACGGGTACGTGTTATACACTGCTCACCGTACTTCACGCTGACATTATCGTGTTTAAATATAGGAGCCTGATGCCACAAGTGAGAGATACAAGATCTGTATTTCTCATGTCGACAATGGCCTCGGCTGGATTCTGTCTAGATTCTACGTGGAGGCCGCATTTTCAGCCCAAGCTAAAACACTTGGAGACCAGATCATCTCTGACATAAGGGAACAATTCATCGCTAGAATCAAGACACTGGCCTGGATGGACGGTCAGACTAAGAAAGTGGCTATCGACAAGGCAACTAATATCATCCAAAAGATTGGCTACCCAACTGCCGTGAGTTTCCTGAACCCTATTCATTAGGACTCTTCACTTGCTGACCTCTTACAGTCTCCAAACATGACTGATCCCGAGGATCTTCTTAATTACTATGCCGGTCTAGACATTAGTGATGTGTATTTCAACAACTCCCTGAACATGGACAAACTTGCCGTCAACAAGTCGTGGAGTCAGTTAGGGAAGCCTTACGACCGCAACACCTGGTTTATGACAGCAGACACTGTTAACGCATATTATAACCCCCCAGGGAACGAAATTGTGATTTGAGCCTTCAGTTTTTAGCCGAACTTAATTACTAACATCGAGATAGGTCTTCCCTGCGGCTATCATGCAGTTCCCGGTCTTCGGTGCCGGTTTCCCCGGCTATGTTAACTACGGCGCATTCGGATCCGTCGCTGGGCATGAGCTCTCTCACGCTTTCGATAACAATGGCCGTCACTACGATGCAGACGGGAAGTACACAGACTGGTGGACCAACCACACGGTTGAGGAGTTCACCAAGAGGGCGGACTGCTTTGTCGAGGAGTACAACAACTTCACCGTCATCGGAACAAACGGAACAATCCACGTCCACGGCGCGCAGACCCTAGGCGAGAATATTGCCGACGCAGGTGGTCTGACGGCATCATTCAACGCTTGGAACGCCCGCCGCCAGGACTATCCGGACTCGGATCTCCCCGGCCTAGACTATTTCACGCAGGAACAACTCTTCTATATTGCCTACGGCAACTTCTGGTGCGCCAAGTACACCAAGGCAGCGCTTACCAGGGGTGTGCTGCTCGATCCCCATTCTCCTAACATGTGGAGGCTGCAAGGTGCGGCAATGATGAATGCCAGGGGCTTCAAGGAGGCCTTTAACTGCCCGTCAAAAGAGCCCACGTGCGAGCTGTGGTAAATTGAAAGGGAACGTGAGATAGCACATGTTTGTAAAGTTGTAACAGCACATTCAAAATGGCATACATTCGTAATTATAGTATAGCATAAATAAAAACTTGTTCCTTTGTCGTTACACCATTTCGTCGGCCCATACCGGTGATCGTCTCTAATAAGCGCCATCATACTACTCAGCCGTAGCCAAGTATAGGATACTTGGTAGTAGTCAATAAGACTAGGATAATTAATAGTGGGTGTTAGAAAATAGTGGTAGTCATCAAGGTATGATTTAGATGTAGTCAAAGATATAACACTCGGCATTAAGCAACAAGAAAACAATCAGTAGCAGTCAACAGGAAACGGATAGCCAGTAGTAGTCAGCCAAGAAAAGGACAACCAAATGTGAGAATATATTGTATATCAAGAGTCAACGAAGAATGCCCAGCACTGACCACAAAATACTTTAGGCCGAAACGCCCGAATGCCCGCCGTAGACAATTTTCCGTAAAGGATGCTTAGCATAAAGACGTTAGAGAAAATCCTTCGATCCGTAACACATTTCGTAATTAAGACACAAAGACTAAGTCTCTTGTGTCTCCCACCACCAACGACGGTTGATACCGAACTTGCTCTTGTGGATCCGCGGATATACTCCAATAACGATCAAGATAGCTGCAATAATGACGGCCCAGAGCTTGATATCGAGCACGTTCCAGTTATAGTCAGTCTGCGTGGCGCTGATCACAGTCGCCAGCAGGAGCAGGTAGAGGACATAGCCGCTCAGGCGGTGATACTTCCACAAAGCCTTCGCGTTGTCGATGCCGCCAAATACAAATGGAACGCCCCACATCAGGAAGCCAAAGATATACCTGAAACTCGAGAGTCAGCTCTAAAAGAATATTGATATGAGGGATATGTGGATGCTCACTGAAGAAGCAGCACAATACCAGTGATGACGCCGAGGTAACCATGTGCAGAATGGAAATGGACACCATTGTTCTTGATCTTGTTCGCCTCGATGATGCCGATGCCCGCCCCGAGCAGCAGGAACGAGAGCAGATTGAGGCTGGCGTGGACACGAGCCCCCTTGATCTTCTCGTCAGCCGTCCATGTCGGCTGCAAAATCAAGATCGCCTGGGTGAGGACGAAGACGCCGGCGGACTGTAGCAAGGGGTGAGGGCTGAACAGCGGCAGCAGCGGGTTTAGAAACACCGAGGACCAGATCAATGCCACAAGCAAGAAAATTCCAGCCTGCGCGAGCCAGCCTGTGCCTGTAGAGGGGAGAGTATGTTAGCTGACCATGCGTGTATATCCAGCAGCTGGGGAGTTGCATTGTGCGACTGTAGCTGCGCATGCGTCTCTACCTACCCTTCCAGAGATTGGTAATCAAGTATTCATCTGGCTTCTGCAAAGCGTCGCCGGGTCGACCAAGAAGAGGCTCTGATTCTCCGGCATTGTTTGGAGGATGCTCCGGGATGCCTGTAGCAGAGGCCATACTGAGTGCAGTCAAGGAGTTGTTGTATGTAGGAAGCTGAAAAGAGGGTTGACGATGTAGCTGGTCTCAGGGCTGGTACGAGCTTCTCAGCAGCGCGGCACAAGCTAGAGCTTGCTGCTCGTCAAATTTTTAAGCTGAACACTTCACAGCAGAGCTGCGCCTTGGAATATTCTAGAGAATATAAAGAGACTCTAGGGATCCGACAGTGTTCAAGTCGTCGTCAAGTTCACCCACCACGTCAGCTACGGAAGTCCTCGGTTTCTTTGCCATCTTGATCCTAACAGGCAGGTAAATAGTCCATCCATTGCGTTGTGCACCTCGAAGATGACGGCACCTCCAAGGGCTGAGGGAGCTTCAGCGAATCAGTAGCTTCGAATTTGAGCATCGATTAAGAGCGGGGTCGATTGGCCAGCCACTACGGACCCCGGGCGGTGCACTGTTCTCACCCTAGCAGGTGCTGAAATGGCGTATAACGATGGTGGGGTTCCCTCCGACTTATCGCCGGCCTTCGGCAAGAACTGTTAACTAGGATGGATGCCATTGAGATCCGGCCGCCAGTTCTCAGGACGTCCGTGGCTTCGGCCTCTTGATTTATGCGGTTCCCGTTCTTTGATCTGATAGAAGACTGCGGGGGTGGTATTCAGTGTCCCTCATCCCACGTTTAACCTGATCCTCAAGAGGTGTTTCGTGGCGGCCCTGCAGAGTTGCTAACCAGACGACTCAAGCACATCATCCGTTCCCCGGAGCTGCTAATTCACTGGATTGGTCTTGGTTTGACTCGCCCAAGATGGGGAACCCGCCCTACCGTATCGGAATAGGCCGACGTCCACCTGTAGGAAATCTCCTCTTACTCGATTGTCTCTTGTCATTGGCGTTGCGTGCCTATCACGGCCTTATGAACGACAGTCGCTTTGTCTCGTGAATTTGCTTTTTTCTTCATAACCTCACGACATACCCCTCGGTGGTCTTTGCTCCTCATTCCCACAGAGCCCTTTTTTTGAGAGTATTTCAGGAGAATATAGCACAATAGCCAATAGCATCAGACTCCATAATGGCTGAAGATTACGGCTACACCCTTGACACTGTCAAGGCCACCCCTGTTGCAAGTGCCGAGATTGACAAGACTTTCCGCTCAAGCTCCATAGGTAAGTAGCTTCTCAAGTCACACAGACAAAGTCTCGGTTTCTTGTGTCTACAGTAGTGAATCTAACGAATATGGTAAAGATCTAGTATCCGCTGCTCTAGGTGGTAAGGTTCTTGGCTTCTCGGATGAGTGGTTTGCAGAAGCCTCAAATCTACTAAATCCAAAGGCCCCTATTCGGGATGCGGGTCGCATGGTCTACACCGGCGCCTGGTATGATGGCTGGGAGACTCGGAGACACAACCAGGAGCCGTTCGACTGGGTAGTCGTCCGCCTGGGCGTTGCATCTGGCATTGTTGAGGGCATTGAGGTCGACACGGCCTTCTTCTCCGGCAACCACGCCCCTGCAATCACTGTCGAGGGCTGCTTCAACCTGAAGGACGAGGAGGTCCTGTCCTGGAAGGGTGGCCGTGGAGGATGGGAGCCAATTCTCAGCATTCAGGAGTGCGGGCCATCTCAGAGATTCGGCTGGAAACTCGATGAGCCTACAAAGAAGCCTTACACGCATGTGAGACTGAACATGTACCCTGACGGAGGTATCGCGAGATTCAGGCTCTTTGGGCATGCCGTACCGGTGTTCCCCGAGGATAAAGAGGCCATCTTTGATCTCGCCGCTGCACAGAATGGCGGCGTGGCGGTGTCATGTAGCGACCAGCACTTCGGCACCAAGGACAACCTCATTCTTCCTGGTCGAGGCAAGGATATGGGTGACGGATGGGAGACATCACGGTCTCGGACCAAGGGCCACGTTGACTGGACCATCATCCGGCTCGGTGCTCCAGGCTTTATCCAGAATTTTATTGTTGACACAGCCCACTTCCGGGGCAACTTCCCTCAAAAGGTGAAGCTGGACGCCATCGAGTGGAAGGGAGAGGGTGAGCCGGGGCCTGAGGCTGAGGGATGGGCAGAGATTGTTGAGCCCAGCAAATGTGGTCCGGACAAGGAGCATGAGTTCGATTCGAAAATCAAGGATAAGCCCATCACTCATGTGAAGCTCACCATTATCCCAGATGGAGGTGTCAAAAGACTACGTGTATTTGGAAAGAGAGCAATTTAAGGGTGGACACTAATTTAGTTGATGTAGAGCAAACCAGTGCCTCATGTTTCTCGTTTCACTGACTAAAAAAGCGGAATGTTAGTCTTGGAAATGCTGAAGACTGTTTATTTGGAGGGTAACTGGTAATTCAGAGCTATTATATGATTTGATTATTTGACTGATGTGCATCGTTCAATACATTTGATACAATCTTCAAAAGGGGAACGTTCAATGACAGTGTCTGCGCACGGACCACCTTGGGCAGTGCACCTCATAATTGTTGATATCACTGCCTGATAGTGAGAGAAACATGCCAACTTCATTAACATTCGACCAGCTTCCCACAATCGAACGCTGCAGGCTGTGTATACAGAGATCGACACAGTCGCGTAATACGATACACAGCCACTTGATCAATTCCACTGCGGGCTAGAGGTCCTACTCTCGGATGGGAACGGGTTGCCCGTCACCCCGCTTCCTCCACCATGGATCTTGGGGATTCTAATGGGGAAGACATCAACCCCTTCGGTGGCGGCGGAGGGGATGAAAAGAAGCCACGAGCTCTTCCAGATGACTTACCCAAGTCGCTGAATGACCGCCGCCGACCAGTCGAGCTTGTGCCGGAAACAGAGATGTATGATGGCTGGCAAGGTATGCGCTCCCTAGAACCCTAGAACAGGTCCCTCCCTGATTCTGAGGATAGCTAATAACATGTGGCAACAGGGCAATCGCAGTTCTTGACGACACCAATTGTGGCGAAACCTCTATCATTCAGCGATCTCACCCTGAACGATCCAAATTACGATGAAGATCTTACGAAGGGCATTCCCGATAGCGATACACGGCTCATGGAGATGCTTGCAGCTCAAGCCGCGCATTCCGCCGGGCCGGGTTTCGAGGACGAGGAGGAGGTTGCCACAAATGACAAACTATCGGATGACGAGAAGAAGGAAAAATTACAGAAGGCACTGAATATGGCTGCTAGCAATGGAAATACCGACCAAATAAAGAAGATCCTGGCTGGCAACTCCCGCCAGTACGTCGACGTCAATGCACCAGACGAGGATGGAACACCTCCGTTGATCTATGCAAGCTGTTTCGTATGTTGTTACTACACCTTGTCGGAGTTGTTGGACTGTGGACTCACTTTTCATATAGGGCCATGATGCAGTTGTCCAGGAGTTGATTGGCGCTGGAGTCGACGTTGACAAGCAGGATCGAAACCACTGGAGTGCTCTCATGTGGGCAATGACCAATCGGCACAAAGCTATTGCAAAGATGCTCCTTGATGCTGGGGCATCCCCCGAAGCAAAAACAACCTCTGGACGAACGGCTTTCGACTTCGTGCCTCCCGACAGTGAGATGTCCTTCTATCTCCACGACAGTGGATACAATATTGGTACAGCGGGCGTCACAGATGATTTCTACGATCCAGGCTTCTCACAGGACCGGTTCGAGGAAGATCTTATGGAGAGTGAGCTTCGAAGACGAATGATGATGGACAGCGCTCGTGACTTGGAGGTAGATCTAGGCAACGTGGGCATAGATGATCAACCTGAGGTAAAGTATCCTTTCATTTCAATTTGTGGCTCATCTTATTGACTTACACTTTCCAGCCAGTCGATGAGTTTGAAGAGGAACAGGAATTTGACTGGACGAGATGTTTACACGACCAGATGTTCGTCTTCCAGGAGGAAGACTTAGATCGCATTCTTGATATCATCATCACGAACATGACACCCCAAAGATCGCCGTCGCAAAAGCCCGTACCCGCGAACATGATATTCCTCAGCGCAAGATATGCGCATTATCACGCCAGTGAAGACCTCTTGGCCAAACTACTCATTACCGCCATGGATAAGATCAACGATGTTGTTGAGATGCATCAGTGGGACATGACGATATTGGCCTTTTGGATTTCGAATGCAACTCTACTATTGCATTATTTGAAGAAAGACACTGGGCTCGTCGAGGCAACTACTGAGTTTCAAGCACAACTAGCTGAGCTCATCAACGAAATCTTCATACTGATCGTTCGGGACGCTGAGAGGCGTCTGGATAAGGTCCTTGATGCCGCGATGCTCGATCACGAGACCATTCCTGGATTCGAAGATATTACGTTCCAGAACGAATGGAAGATTTTCAAACGGAAAAAGGAGGTCAAGGAGGAGCCTCTTGAACGACGGTACCGGCCGCCCTCACCCAAGCAGCGTGCTAAACCGTCTCCTCGAAACGTGACATCCCTGTTATCATCTACCTTGTTTGTGCTGGATCTATACGATATCCATTCCGTCATCACCACACAAATCATCTCGCAGCTGATTTACTGGATCGGCGCAGAGCTCTTTAATCGGATCATGTCTAACCGGAAATATCTTGCCCGGACGAAGGCAATGCAAATACGCATGAATGTATCCGTTCTGGAGGATTGGGCGAGGGCGAACAACCGGCATCCTGAGCATTACGAGGGCGGCGACATGCAATCCCATGGAGAGACGACAGTAGACGCGACGAGGCGGCACCTAGCTCCTGTCATTCAACTCCTTCAATGGCTCCAGTGCTTCTCGTCTCTCGGCGCTGACGACCTCGAGGCTCTCGTCGGGACACTGCAGCAATTGAAGGCACTCAGCGCGCAGCAGCTCATCCACGCCGCAACACATTATCGTCCCGAGGTGGGCGAGAAGGGACTTACCAAGAGCGCGATGAAATACCTCATCGCCATACAGAAGGAGGCGCAGTTACGGAGGGAGCGGGAGAGGAACAGACGGAGTGTGACCGCTTCCCCGAGACCAAAGTCGGCTCCCGACAGCGCTCCTGTTACTCCCGTGAAGAAGTCAGCAAACGGAAATGGCGCTGAGACACCCGGCCAAGACACGCCGGGCTCGACGCAAGATGAAGAGGAAGGAGATGATGCTCCCGAGAACCTGCTGCTGGATCCCGCGCTGATGCTCCCCTTTACATTGCCATCGGTAACAGACATGCTGGTGAGCTACGGCGCTGGGTTCGGCGGTGTGAATCGCGAGCGGGAGCGCAAGTACATCCCCACGATCCCTCCCGAGTTCCTGGACAAGCTGGAAAGCACCAGCGGGAAGCGGCCCATGTTCGTCGAGAAGGACTGGGAGAACGAGGAGGTCTGAGAGCAAAGACCCAGCAGTACCGTATCTGGGCGAATTGGGACATGTACCCCGTGAGGCATTTTTTCTCTCCATAGAGCAGGAGTAAGATAGGAGCCTGGATTGAATGTCGAGTTTTTTCTCAATTCAATGCGCAAAGAGGATCTTGGTTCGTTGAGACGTGTTGAGCTTGGAGCGGTATGCATGCAGCCAGGCGGTCGTGCACGCGATGTGATGGGTTCAGCTCAGATGCAAGCTGCAAGGGACGAGAACAGCTGGCCGATGGCCAAAGAAACCAAAACCGGGATGTGATGCATAACATGTGTAGGCGTACATTTCTTTGGGCGTTGGACGAGCAGAGATTGGGCAGAAGCGGCCAAAAGAAAGAAAAGAGCGAATCAAGCCACAGGATTCTCTCGTGCTACAAAGCTGCCTCTCCCCGCCATGATAACGATCTCTGAGATAGATAGATAGCCAGCGGCAGATGAACACGACATCATGACAGGCCCAGCATTTCGCCGGGGGTGTCCCATGCACAGAAAAGGAGGAGTTTATCAGATGAGCTTTCAAAATCAATATTCTGGATGCACATACTGTCGTGGCGTCTGTACAAACAAGTTGACATGTTGTCGTCCACGCTTTCAAGACAAGTCCAGGCGAGGTTGACCGCCAAAGCTACACTTGATATCACACACTTGGAGTCCCCTCGACTACCTAGGAAGGTTTTCCCATCACGTGGGCTGAAACCCATAGAAGCCCATATTATCCTTCTCCCGAATCAAGGGTCTCGAGGGCTTGTTTCTTACGACAAGTGCATTAATGGTGGGGGGAGGGGAAGCTTTAGAATTCCCGGCAAGCTGGATGGGATTGGCAAACCCTGGTTGGGCCGAGCTTGACCACCAGATTGAGACGACAACCTGGCGCATCCCGATTCGGCTGCGGAGCCAGGGAGCCTGAAGCAGGACAAACGGGGAGATCGGGATGCGCTGGCTAAATTGCCACGTCAAATTGCTCCAATTAAGAGCTTCATGCCACCAGGAGGTCTGGAAGGCTTCTACTTTAACGGAACCACAGAACTCCGTCGTGCGCATCACACGACCCCCGTTTTGCTGGGTGGCCAGGGTCGTCGAAGTTGTCCCGGCAGCTAGACCCATGAAGTTTCTGTCAAAGTCGAGCTGTCAAGGTAGGCGAACGGCCTCGGTTGATCTTGTCTTGTCTTAGACTTTCAGCCCTCCCGCGATCTGTGCTCCCTTCCGGAGGGCGGACCGGGTCCCAGCATCGCAGGCTTGCAGATCTGTGATTATTTGCCTCCAATCGTGCGTTGGGTTTGTCTTTTGGATGGTTTGCGGGCTTGTAAAAGACCAGAGGAGGGAGGAGGAGAGTAGTCTAATTCTAATCTATCAAGCGATCATGCGGGGAAGAGGGCAGAGGCAGAGAAGCAACTCCATCTAGTTTAACACCAAGCCTGGCAACCGGGGCAGGGTGGCCGGCAGATACCCAGGCTCGAGTCTGTGCTGTTCCGTCTGACCTGCCGTGCTGGGGCTTCCGTCTAAGCGAAAACCAGGCCAGCTGGGTGGTCGAGCAAGTTTGAGTATCAGACAGACAGAGAGAAAGAAAGAAGACAACCCCATGTCGAGACGACAGGGTTTGAGAGGCGTGCATCCTACCATCGAGTGAAATCGTTTGTAGCTTCTGGACCCCTGAGAGCACACACAGACACGGGAGATGATGAGTTGAGAGGTGTTGTTTGTTTCTTTGCTTTTTGGCGGGCCACATGAAGCGTGTCTCGGCTTGACCCCTTGCTGAGCAAGCGTACCTTGCAGCAACCCGGCCAGTGAGAGGCGGTATTCGCGGCGGTGGGCAGCGACATTGAGACCGTGTCTAATGAGCTTAGGCTAGAGACGTGGCCTCTCTGTCTCTGATCAGACTGGTTGTCTGTCTGCACGGGAAGTGTGCGAGAGTGACAACTTGTCAAGTACATGCACTCGATTTCCACATGCACCTACCTGGTCTGAGGAGTTTTGGGTGCCGATGCGTCGAGACGGCGGGAGCGCCACCGTCTTGATTGACCTGTTGCTCCTTGTGCCGCTTCTTCTGGCCTAGAACGGTGGAGACGGCCAGCTGCTCTGGTCGATGGCCCATCCTCATCTCTTGTGTTTGAGGTCCCACTTGATTGTTTGTTTGTTTTCTGCTGTTCAGCACGTTGGACTGTATCCACTGTAGTTGCTGCTGCTATCAGATGGCGGTGGGGAGAGATGATGGGACCTCAAGGTGGCATTGTCTGAGTGGCAGGCCACATGTTACGGTGAAGAGACAACTTTGTATCTGGGCTAATAAGCAGCGAAAACAAGAAGAGGCAGGCTAAAAAGCAGAGAGGTACCTGGGATGGCAGCATGTTGGCGGCGGGGGCTGGGGTTGGGGGTTGTGTGCTGGGATAGCAGCAACGTTGCGGCATGCATGTCATCCATGCTCACTTACACGTACACCAGATCACATCAGGTAGCTCAGAGAGTTAGTCGGCTGTCTGGTGGAGGGAAAAGGAAGCTGGAGGATGAAGTGTCACAAGTTAGTCTGGTCTTGCCCTGTCAACCTCACATGGAGAGAGATAGATAGTCAAGTCATGGTAAGGTAAGGTAAGGTAGGGTTAGGTACACAAACATATCCAGGTAGGTAACAAGCGAGCAAGAAAAACAGGGCCGTGGTTTGTTGGGCGGATGATATCGAGTAGAAAAAGATAACAAGATACCTGCCTGAGCAAGCTTTGCCGTACCGGTACCCAAGACGAATTCAGTCAAGTTGAAAAACAGTCACTCCAAGGACGCTCCGTTTTTACTTTTTCTGATCGCCTCAACACCAAAAGCGTGTGAGTGTGAATGAGGTGTATCTTGTTTGTCACTCCACATTCCGTTAGACCCAATCCATCCAGTCACCACCAAGGCACTCCCTCAGTCGGAGGAAAAAGAGACGAGACCAATTTATCTTCACTCTGCCCCCCGTCACTTCCCCCTCCCTGGCCTGCCGCTTTTTTTCTACTCTTTCCCTGGATACTGGTTTCCGATTTTCCTGGCTTGCAGTCTTCTGGTTACTGCTCTGGATTGAGTTGATTTCGAGCAGCTTTGCACTTTGTGATAACTTTCATAGTTGCACATATACAAGCCAGCGTCTGGTCTTCACTTACACGGAACCACTCGCCCCCACTAGTCCAACCCCGGTCTACCTCATCGACCTTTTCGACCGATTGCCTGCTTGGCGAGGCCAGGCATTCCCTGCTGAAGACAGCGCCGTCGAATTTCAGCACGCATCAAGAAGGAGAAGAGGGGGAACAAAAGAAAGACTCGACTACTGTCTGCTACAGTACTGTTTATTTTACTGCAGCATAGTACGTAAGCACGGCAGAGGCAACTGCAGCCCACCTGCGCTATGGCGCCCCAGAAATTTGCAAGCGTACGCTACAAATCGCGTCCGGCGGTGCTCGTGCCATTCAGGGACGACTCCAACTTGGTCGCGTTCAAGTATGAGGACACGATCCAGGCCGAGCCTCCCATCATTCTTCCTCCTCCTCGCAACCCGCTGCGTGCCAAACGCCCGCTCTCCTCCATCCCATCGAGCCCTGCCACGCCTCTAACTCCAGTCAGTCCCAGCAGCCCTCTCAGCCCTGCTAGTACCATCAGCACGGCCAGCGGCATCATTGTGGTCCCGCCGCCAGGGCCACCTCCCCAGGAACAGCATCCAGCGCTTCGGGTCCAGATTCGGGAGCGGACACCAGTGGACGACTACAAGCGGGATTCAGGACTTGCCAGTACTTCTTCTGGGGTGACAATCCGCGAGGAGTGCGAGGGCGAGCTGCTGTACAACAAGATCGACCTCGAGGACGACGCCCCCTCTGCATACTCCCGGGCCAGGACGATCTCGATTCCCTCCAGCGGCCGGTGCACGCCCGATGAGATTTCTCCGGTCCCGCGCATATCGTGCCAGAGCCACTGGTCGGTCACCGAGTCGGACCTCTCAGAGGTGACACCAACGAAAGTCAAAGACGCGTCTAGGAGACTGGCCAAAACCTTCAGCTTGAGAAACGGGTCCCCCATGAAGAGGTTGCGCAAGAAGAGTCTGAGCGAGGACGCCGCGGTGGGTGTGGCGCCCGAATCGCGGGGCTCGACAAAGCCAAAATCGCCTAAATTGCCTAATGGAGCACTACCCGAGAAGCAGCAGCCCCCCTGTCCAAAGCCTAGTGGCACCCCGGCGGCAGCGGCAGCATTCCAGCAAGCGTCGTCTCCACCATCCGGATTTATCCCTCTGACGACCACCATCCCTCGTGGAAGTTTCTTGGATGATGATTTCATCACCGGCCTGACCTTCTCCAAGAGAGGCAGCTTAATGTTTGGTTCCAAACGCGCCAATGGAAACGACCTCCTCACCTCGCCTTCGATGAGCTCCCAAGACGCTCAGCCTGTCCAAGCTGCTGCTGCTGCCACCGGTTCTGCGACCGAGCCCGCGAAGCTGGGCGGCGACGCGACTGGAGATGCAAGGAGCGCTAAGCCCTCCACGGAGTCCCCCCGGAAGATGTCGCTGCCCAACATTCGAGTCTTGTCGGTAGATACAGAGAGGGAATCACAAAAGGTGAGATCGCTCTATGACTCTAGCGACGGCATCGATTGGAAGGATGGGGGCCCAGACCCACCGCACGGCGGTCTGGAGCCGACAGAGGAGGCCCCATCAGACGAGGAAGAGATTGTCGCGTATGGATTTCCTAGTCAACTTGCCTTTCGTGTCCGCTATAGTATGCTAACTCGCCATCTTTTTTCCGCGCAGAGAGTCAAGAGACCGCGTTACCACCCTCTCAGCGACTTCTCCGCCGGCGCCCGATTCGTCTTCGTCGCGACGCGATAATCCCCCGCGGAGCCTATATGAGCTCGCTGGGGGGATCGAGGACTGGGAGAATGTCGATGGCGCCGATGTTGATCGCTATGGGTTTATCAATGTTCGAAGGCCAGCATCGAGGGCGAGCACGACGGACCTTAGAGGATCACGGCTGACAACGGGGAGGAGAAATGGGAGAAACGTTCTAACCAAGAGGGATCCGTCCTTCTATTCAACATCACTAAGCCCCAACAGGGCACCGAGTCGGAAAATATCCGCGCGATCTTTAAACACCCAAACCTCAGAGTTTTCAACCACATCAAGACGATCCGCGCGATCGTCAATACGAGCGGCGGCAAACATGCTGCCGCATAATCGGAACAGGAGATGGATGGACGAGGCGGGAGAGATGCTGACTCTGTCACCTGGCTTGAGTGACATCGCTGAAGAGGAGAAGAATGAAAAGCTATCCGAAGCATTGAAGAAAAAGGAGTGGGAACGCTCTGAGAAGTGGAGGAAGATGGCAAAGTCCGTAAAAAAGGGCAAGAGCGGCGAAGGAACGGGATTCGAGTTCGACACGAAGAATCAAAAGGTGATTGACCGCACATGGAAGGGTATACCGGACTGTTGGCGCGCCGCAGCGTGGTACTCCTTCCTGGCGACCAGTGCCCAAGCCGCCAAAAGTCCAGCAACGGAGGAGGAGATCATAGCAGATTTTCAAAAGTTGCAAGAACACGGCTCTCCGGATGACGTCCAGATTGATCTTGATGTACCAAGGACTATAAACCGACACATCATGTTCAGGAAAAGATATCGGGGCGGGCAGCGACTACTATTCCGCGTGCTACATGCTCTATCCCTTTACTTCCCGGATACTGGTTATGTCCAGGGCATGGCTGCCCTAGCAGCTACGTTGCTATGCTACTACGATGAAGAGCGATGCTTCGTCATGCTTGTGCGCATGTGGCAGCTCCGCGGTCTTGAACGCCTCTACCAGCCAGGCTTCGCCGGTCTCATGACAGCGTTGGATGACTTCGAGAAGACCTGGCTTGGGGGCAAAGAGGTCGCCAAGAAACTCTCAGAGCTTGCTATCAGTGCAACAGCGTACGGCACGCGCTGGTATCTGACACTCTTCAACCTTTCTGTTCCATTTCCAGCGCAACTGCGTGTCTGGGATGTCTTCATGCTGCTTGGCGACGCCCCTCCCATACCTCCTAACCCGAGCCTCGAGAAACTTAAGGATCCCGAGCTCCCCTTCCTCGGGCTTGACATCCTCCATGCGACATCTACCGCTTTGATCGATGCTTTACAGGAGGTACTACTCGATTCCGATTTTGAAAACGCCATGAAGGCGTTGACATCTTGGGTCCCCATCAAGGACGAAGACATGCTCATGAAAGTCGTCCGGGCGGAGTGGAAACACCACCAAAAGAAGAAACCATAGGAGCATTTCTTCAGCACCCTCCTGCCCGGCTCAGACTCAACATTCTCTTTGTTTGTTTAAGCGCATGCAATTGCCAGGGTTTGAACACATGGAGGCGTTTTATTATTATTATTTTTCCTGGCATGGGATATCTGATTGCAACGACTTGCCGCGGATACCCCCTTTTCACCTTCCAGCACACATCTGGGAGACCGGTCCTTCTAATTCGCATGTATGTATTTTGAGGCATTACAGCCTACGACAGCGCCGCCCCAGGCACAACCCTCGCTCTCTTTTGTACCTAATGATGCTGGCTGGACAGACACTGCCGCCAGAGACGCTAGAGGGACGGACAGACAGAGGAGACAGGACGATGTCATAAAATGACTTACTGATGGATATGCTACTACACCTTAGACTTAGTTATATACCCACTTCACGCTCACCCGTTTGTGATCTGACTTGTGCATGTCTGCTCATGGGTGACTCCTGGACTGTGTGATCTATGCCTCGGATAGTACGAGATCCAGGCATTAAAGCCTGGCCCCATGGGACCCTTCATCTGCGACATTTCCATACTGGAAGCTTTTCACTTATTTGAAGACTTGCGATTGCTATTGGACCACTGCTTAAAGTGAGCAGCCTCTTTCGTATTAGATGTTCTAGTAAAGATGATATGGAACCATAAAGATTGTAAAATGAAGAGCTAAAGCATCGGGGGGTGGAACTGTTGACTATGCTGGATCTCTCCTCACGATTATCTACACCGCATACGTCTGAAAGAGAAAATTAAAATATCCAAGTATCATAGATTACACCAGAGCATCGCCAATATCATATCTTGTCCGCGCGTATCACCAGCAAGGCTTAATTAAGTGGAATCCGGAGGCCAGGGAACCTGACCAGCTCCGATGGTCTGTGCTCGGCCCCGCTGATCGGTCGGCCGGTTTGCGGGTCCCGGGTGCTAGTGACCGGCCCGGTCCGGTACGTGCGTGGGTCTTTCCAACGGATCTTTCAGCGTCCAGCATGCATCATTTGGCTGACCTGGAAGAGGCAAAAGTGCAGATGAAAGAAGGCCGAAGAAACAAGACTTTTATTTTTCGGCGTCGGACCTCAAATCTCCGCCATCTCTTCGACACCAACTGATCTAACTCAATCCCTAGCCAACACAAATCTCTGAGGTTCTCAAGAGGGTGGATTACCAAACCCTTCTGAAGCCTTCGGTCTTTCAATCAGCCATGCTTAAAGATGAGGTCGCATCTCAGGTGCCAGAGAAGTGACAGTTGAATTGCCCGATCCAGTGTGCAAGCTTACCAGATTCGGCCCTTCTCAGCCTGATCCGTCTGACTGAACCATTCCAAATCTGATCATGATCAGGCAATTCAATACCCATTCAACCCACAATGATATGCAACGTTTATATGACTGTCTCAAATGTCACTGCTACATCCTTCCAGAAGCTGGCACTTGTACCGAAAACAGACTTTGTCTCTCCGACCGCGGCACGACGCGGGATACCCCAAGTCGTTCATCTGAGCTTATGCCTGGCCCATCAAGAGCTTACACATAAAGCAGTAAGCCACGATGCCTATAAACAAGTGATATAACCCGTGGCTAGTGTCGTCTGCATGCTGTGCTGCGAGGCGTGGGATGGGCCAAGGACACGGCAGTACTCCCAGGGCAATGAGTCTGCCGCAACCCAAAGAGGAATACATGACTTGAAACATAGCGAATGGTTAGTCGACGTTACTAAGGCTTGCTCATCAAGCTGCATCGTAGAACCAAGGTGAGAGCTTTCTCGGTGAGTTCAAGCTGCAATGATGCGGCGTAGCACACACGCACACATTGAATCGTGCTGGTGGACGAAGTCCACTCGGGGGTGTGGAAGATGCCGCGAATGGATAAAAATAGCCGCATCAGGCTGCATCCTTTTCTTCCAAGCAGGATTTTGGTCAATCTCTCTGTCCAGCTAAGCGCCAGTGGCATAGAGTACCATAGTAAAGACGTGAATGTTGTGAGATCCCTGCAAAGCTGAGTCTCCGAGATGAGCTTTCTGCAAAGCGACGTTTTGTCTCAGAATTATGACAAGCAGCCGCTAGTCTTCCAGCAAAAACCATGGACACCATGACAATGCAGAGACGATGAGCCGAGCCACAAACTATATCTGGCGGTCTAGGCGGTTACATTAAGAAATGAATAGCCAATGATATGAATTGAGGTAGGCGTGGAACGAACAGGTCCTCTATCAAGGGTTCATGCTGTTACTCAAATTGGCGTCCTCTCAAATTGGTGGATGCTTTCAGTTGATGGATAGGCTAAATGCCTATCTAGGACCAACGGCCAGGTTAGCGATGACAAAAACAGCAATAATGAGCTCGATATAGATAGCAAATATCACGCGCCAGCAGCGCTACAATATCGCGAGATCTACAGGCGGCATAAGCGGGGGTTAGCGAGCAACATCTGTTCCATCCCGATCTGAATATGGGAGGATAGCGCGGCCGGTAAGATGGGCAAATGCCGTGCCGTGTGCTCTGTTCTAGGGGAGAGCTCCTTTTCCAAATTGCGTGCCGAGATCTCAGCGGCTTGACACGGCTGGGGACATATGATCCACGTGTCGTTCCAAAGACTCGACCGTAAAAGGGTTAACTTGGTTAGACCGGTAATCTCGCAACCTCTTCTGCCTGATGCTTCCATGATCAGTATTTGACATGGGCCCCGCTCGGACCTCTCTGTACCTTTAAGGGTATATATGGGAGTCAGTGAGCTTATACCGGAAGACCTATAGATCATCACGGAATGCAATCAAGAAGTCCCAGCAACGGGTCACAGGATGTCCGGCTCTCGCGCTTGCGCCCGTATAGCGAAGTCGCTTGGATGCATACCATATGTCTTAGGTTGCTGTGTGACAGCCCTAATCGGCCGGCACTGAAAGAAGGTGTGTCGGGAACAGGTCTGCCGTTTCAAGACCGCATGCGGAAACTGGAGAAAGCGTGACGGCGATGTCCTGGTAAGATGACAGCAGCGCGCCAAGGGGCGACCGGAGCCATTGATTGTACTATACGTACATGCACAAGAATAGACGAGCGCCGGCGCAATTTGGCGCGCATATGCATCGTCCGAGGGTTTACATTGTCAGATTCCAAATATGAGTCGAACCAAGGTGATTTGATGTGATTCATCGGCCCATTAGCATTAAGTGCGTGTGCCCTCGGGAGTATATTCTGGGCCGTTGTGGCTGGTGCCTCATGTGAATGTGCGGGAGAAGCGAGCCACGAGGACTGGTACTGGCTGGCGACCAAGCGCCCAAAGCACAGACCCCCCGGATGTCTTGTCCCCCCTCCTGCGGATATGTTTTAAGCTCTGTCATTTGTGACCAAATCAAACCAAGCGGGAGCTAGCAAGAGCGCGCCTGAGATGGCCGCTTCGCTTCGATTGAATCGAATCCTACCCTGCCAAAAGCGTGCTTCGATGGAGTGGTGGACTAAGGCGAAGGAAGCTAGGCTCGACTAACCGGCCGGGTCGCAGGGCTTGGACCGATGATCGTGGGAACGCGGGTCCAAAGACGGGCCTTGTTCGGGACCGAAGAGCTTGTTGGGTGGGATTAACTGAATCCAGGCCGGATCTACAGCAGCTTTCATCGAAGGCAGCAGCATCGGGCCGGTGGGAGAGAGGTCGTTGATCGTCTGTGCGGTCGATTGACACCAGGCGCAATCGCTGCGCTGGGACGCAAACAGCATGAGGAAAATAATACTCCCTCCTCCTCTTTTCCCCGTGCGCTGCAGGAAAAGCCCCTGCCGATGCGGATGAGGCGTCTGCGCAGCCCTATATTAAGCAACGTCATCTTTCGGGTTGGTCAGGAAAAGATAGGTGCGGTTGCGGCCTTCGCTCTTTTGTTAGAAACGTGCCAATCCACAACCATGAAGATAGAGATACCTACCTTAGACACACACACCTCTACACACATCTCCAGGGCTCTCATTCATCCAGAAAATGGGAGCGGGCAAGTGGGTGACTGGGAGATGCAGGCGCGGTCGAATCGCGGGTCGCGCTTCCACCCACCCGCCTAGCCAACGAGAGTCGTCCTGGCGCACCTGCCTGCACCTTCCATCACTGCCCTCCAGCCGGTGACAAATAGTAAATTGCCCGAATTCCACAAGTAGAAACTGCGGCTGCCAGCATTTGCTTTTTTGGCGCTAACCGCATTTTCCATGTTGTTGCCAAAAACAGACTCGCAGCACACATGATTCGAAGCTTGGAGGAAGGCTGGCAGACAAGCAAGGATGGAAGGAAGGAAGCAACTCACTCACTCCCTGTCCTTGAGGCTTGAGTGCACCTACGTCGTGCTTCCTTACTCGATCCTGACCGAGCAGGCGCCCCGGTGAGCGCAGTCTAATTAAGGTGCCTTGGGTACATTAATTATAGAAACGTGCTTGCCGTGCTTGAGAAGGTTACGTGCATGTGCTCCTTCCGGGCGGATAGGCTGTGCCATGCCACAAACTGTACTGTACCAGCACCAAGCTCCCCGAGCAGGAGCACCTGTTTGTCTGGAATGATTGTTTCTCCAAAAGCCCATGCTCCATGTTGCTTGCCGCCTCCACGGGAAAGCAGAAACGAGCTAGTCGCCTAGAGGCAACCGCTCAGATAGTATATCATCCCATCTGCTGGGATACCAGGATGACAGGCGCCCGCCCCGGCAGCAGGGCCTAGCCTAGGGGGGCGGATGGAGAGTGTTGCGCGTCTCTGACTTGGCTCGATTCGGGATGGCACCTCCGCCCAAATTCGCGCAAAACAGCATGGTTGCGGAATTGCAGGAGCGCTCGCGCCCCAGCATCAGGTCGCAATTGACTTGAAATGACACGCCGGCACTCATCTCCAGCAATCAAGCTCGTGCCACGGCGTGACGGCGCGCAGAAACGAGCCTATCTCAGCCCTGTCCGACTTGTGAGACATGCGGGGGCGGGAGGGAACTCATAGCGGGAGGGAGGCCTAGTAGGGAGAGCAATACCAAGCGAGATAAC